ACCCTTGTAGGTTAACGACCTTTTGTCCCTAGCTGTTTTCAGAATTCTCTCTTTGTCTTTGTATTTTGTCAGTTTCAGTATGATATGTTGTAGTGTTGATCTGTTTTTGTTGATTTTGAGGGGAGTTTTCTGTGCCTCTTGGATTTGGATACATGTTTCCTCCCCTAGATTAGGGAAGTTCTCCACTATAATTTGTTCAAATAAACCCTCTGCCCCTTTCTCTCACTCTTCTTTTTATGAACTCCTATGATATGGGTATCATTTCGTTTCATGCAATCACTTAGTTCTCTAATTCTTCCTTTGTGATCTAGTAATTTCCTTTCCCTTTTTTTTCCAGCTCCATTATTTTCCATAATCTTATCTTCTATTTCACCTATTCTCTCCTCTGCTTTTTCTATCCTCACTACCACTGTATTTGCATCTCAGTTAGAGCACTTTTTCATTCATCCTGACTTGTCCTTAGGTCCTTGATCTCTGCAGCCTCCCAGGCACTCAGCTTGATTCAAAACCAAAGTCTTATGTCTCCTTTCCCCTGTGCTGGAGTAGAGCCACTCACCCTGCTGATAAAAAGCCTTTGGCTGGCACCTGCAAGGTCTTTTGTCCTGGAGGAGGCAATAAACCCTCTTCCCAAAGTACTCCCGGTAGAGGACTGTTCTCTCCCAGTGCATTCCTGAGATCACTACATGGTGCCATGTGCTCTGGGGCCAGCTCCCTCCTCCCCAGGAGCACCACACTTCCAGCTCTGTTCCTGAGACAGTCACACATTTTGAAACCTCTAGATCCAGCTCCTAAGGCAGTTTACAAAATAGAAACTGACACTCTCTGTATTTCTCATTGCCCAGTCCACGGTCCAGAGATGTTTTCCTCTTGTGCTAACTGGATATTGCACTGTCACAGCCCCTCTCTCTCCTTCTCCTTTTGTGGGAAGGGGTTCCTTCCCCTTTGTGCCTATTGTGTTTTATCTCCCCCAATTCACATACATGCACCTCGATCCCACCAAGTGGTCTCTTTCTACCCATGGAGATCTTCTGCCACACCACAGAATGATTTCCTGGGTGTTCCAAGTGGTCTGACCTCAATACAGTTGTGTTTGAGGAATGAGGAAAACCCCAGTCCCCCTACTTCTCTGCTATCTTAACTCCTCCTCCTGGTTGTTTTCTATTAGAATTTTTAAAAATCTTTTCCAGCTATAAGAATAAACTGGGAAAACTTTTGGTCATTATCTATGTTCTTAAATTGTTTATATAGTATAGGGATTACCTGCTCCTTGAAAGTCTGAAAATACTTGTCTATGGAGTCCAGCAAAATTTTAGTGTTTTTTTTTTCTTTTTTTCTTAACGTTTATGATTTATTTTTGAGAGAGAAAGAAAGAGAGAGCAGGTAGGGGAGGAGCAGAGAGAGGGAGACACAGAATCCGAAGCAGGCTCCAGGCTCTGAGCTGTCAGCACACAGCTTGACGTGGGGCTCAAACCCAAAAACCGAGAGATCATGACATTAGCTGAAGTCGTACACTTAACTGCCCAAGCCATCCAGATGCCCCTGTTTTTTGTTTTTAATCAATGCATCCATTTCTTTTCTGAAAACTGGCAAATTTTATCCTCTAAAATTAATGTTACTTTATATTTTCAGTTTATGAACAGGTCTGAAATCATGATCTCAGCTATACCTTATGAGAGTCGAAAATAAAGAGCAAATTAATTACAAAGTAAGTAGAAAGAAAGGAAATGAGAGAGAGAGAGAGAGAAAATCAGTGAGGCCAAAACCTGTTTTTTGAGATCAAGAAAAATGGTAACTTTTTATAGACTAATGAGGACCAAAAGAAAGACACAAATTTTCAGTAACAGGAAGGAGAGTGTGGGCATCCTATAATTATTAAAAGGATAGTGGGGGAATATTATGAACAACTCTATGTTAATAAACTAAGCAACTCAGATGAAATTACAAGTTCCTAATAAAACCAAAGCCACTAAGCTTCTCAAGAAGAAAAAGATCATAGCCCTATATCTAATAAAGAAATTTCCTTAAATCTGTTGAAGAAACTGGATAGCATTTATCTGAATAGCTCTATTTTCGTAATTTACAACTTTCTCACAAAGCCCAGAGGGCTTCACTGATGAACTCGCATAAGGAATAAATAAACCCGCATAAGGAAGAAATAATCTACAATTCTATAAAAACTGCTGCAGAAAATAGAAGACTCATCCTAATAGGCCACCATTATGCTGATGTCAAAACCAAACACAGGTGTTAGAAAACAAAACAAAACTACATAATCAATATCCCTCATGAACATCAATGCAAATTCTAAACAAAACTAACAAACTGAATTTGACAATATGTAAAAAAAATAATACATCATGATCAGGTGGGATTTATCTTAGGGATGAAAGGTTGGTTTAAATTTTTTTTGTTTTATTTATTTTTGAGAGGGAAAGAGAGCATGAGCAAGGGAGGGAAAAAGAGAGAGGGAGACACAAAATCTGAAGATAGGCTCCAGGCTCTGAGCTAGCTGCCAGCACAGAGCCTGATGCGGGGCTGGAACTCACAAACTGCGAGATCATATCCTGAGCCGAAGTTGGACACAACCAACTGAGCCACCCAGGCGCCTCAGGGTTGGTTTAAATGTTCAATTCAGGAGCACCTGGGTGGCTCAGTCAGTTATGCTTGGGCTCAGGTCATGACCTCGCAGTTCACGGGTTCGAGCCCCATGGCGGGCTCTGCACTGACAGCTCAGAGCCTGGAGCCTGCTTCAGTTCTGTGTCTTCCTCTCTCTCTCTGCACTTCCTCTGCTTGTGTTCTCTCTCTCTTTCAAAAATAAGTAAATTTTTTAAAAAATCATTTAAGCATTCAATTCAAAAATCGATCACTATACAGCAGTCTTCTCCTTATCCACAGGGGATATGTTCCAAGACCCTCAGTAGATGCCTGAAACCACAGATAGTACCAAAACCTCTATAAACTGTTTTTTCCTGTATGTACATACATACAATAAAGAACACCATAAGAGAGTAACAGTAATAATAAAATAGAATAATTATTATATACTATAATAAAAGTTATGTAAATATGCTCTCTCTTCCCAAACATCTTATGGTGCTGCACTCACCGTTCTTGTGATGATGTGAGATCAGAAAATGCCTGTGTGATGGAATGCAGTGAGGTGAATGACACAGGCATTGTGACCTAGCATTAGGCTACTACTGGCCTTCTGGTGCCACATCAGAAGGAGGATCATCCTACTGTGTTGGAGTGTGTTGGCCGCAGGTAACTGAAACTGTGGCTAAGGGGGACTACTGTAATTCATCATATTAAAAAGCTAAAAAAGACAACTCATATGACCATCTCATTTGGTGCAGAAAATGAGATGCATTTGGTGCACCTCTGACTTCAAAAAGCTTTTCAGCAAACAGAATAAAAAGGAACTACCTCAATCTGATAAAGGGCATCTATGAAATACCTACAGCTATGGTTATATTTAAAGATGACAGAATAAATATGTTTTCCCTAAGAAAGAACAAGACAAAGATATTGGCTCTCACTACTTTTATTCAGCCTGGTGCTGGAGAGTCTAGTTAGTGCAAAAGGCAAGAAAAATAAATAAAAGGCTTACAGACTGGAAAGGAAGAGGGAAGTCTGTCCCTACCTGCTGATGCTACTACTGTGTACAAAGAAAAGTCTAAAGAATCTGAAGGGGTAAAAAAAATTGTTAAAAACAATAAGTAAGTTCAGCAAGGTCACAGGATATGAAATCGACATATTTAAAAAATCAATTTTAAATCTCTATATTAGCAATGAATAATCAGCAATCGAAATTATAAATGAACCACTTGTAAGAGTGCTCAAATATAAAATACATAGGGATATATCTGACAAAAGAGGTGTAAGACCTGTACACTGAAAGCTGCTGTGTAAGACCTGTATACAATAAAACTTTGTTGAAAGAAAAAAAGGACTTAGGTAAATGAAGAGATGAGACCATCTTCACAGATTCAAAGACTCAATATTGATAAGATGTCAGTTCATCGCTAATTGATCAATAGATATAATGTAATCACAGTCAAAATCTCAACAAGTTTTTTTGGAGAAATTAGCTAATTCTAAAACTTTTGCTTATGAAAAGCAAAGGACCTAGAATGGCCTAATGAATCTTGAAAAAGAAGAACAAATTTGGAGGATACGCACTACTGGATTCCAAAACTTCTTCTATAACCACACTCATCAAGACAGCTTGATGATGGTGACAATGTCGTCAAACAGATCAACAGAACACAACAGAATGTCTAGAAGAATATTCACTGTGGATGACAGGCCACGGTGGGTGTTGGTGAAGAAGTGGCTAGCTGGAACATTCATATACTGCCGGCAGGAGTGTAAAACAATTTAAGCACTTTGGAGGATTGTGTGACAGTTTCTTACAGAGTTCAACACACATACCGTGTGACTTAGACATTCCATTCCTAGCTATCTGCTTGAGAGAAATGAAAGACATGCGTATGCACATGAATATACATTGAAGCTTTGTAATAATCAAAACTGGCAACAATCCAAATGCCCATCAACAGAGAATGGATAAACGGTGTATATCCATATAATGAAATACTACTCAGCACTACAAAACATGAAATTTTAATAAGAGCAACAAGATGTGTGAATTCAAAATAATTATGCTGAGTAAAGAAGTCAGATCAGAAAAGTATACATTTTCAATGATTCTATTTATATAAATCCTAGACAATGAAAAATAATCTTTGGTGTTAGAAAGTGGATCAGACGTTGCATGGGGGGCAGGATGAGGCTGGAAGGAGAGATCACAAATGGGTAAAAGGAAACTTTGAATGTGTTAGATATTTTCCTTTCTTTTTATAATAATTATCATTTTACGGGTGTATCCATAATTTAGAAATTATCAAATTGTACACTTTAAATACATGTAGTTTGTTGTAATACAAGTCAATCTAAGAAGTCTGCTAAAAACAAACAAAAGGGCAAGATAGTGTTACCTTCATCTCATCCAGCTCATAAAGATCTTTAGCAGGATTTTTTTCTAAGTGACCTGCTTTATTCAGAACCATAGCTGTTACCATCCCTCTACAACACCTGGGAAAAATAAAATAAAGTAAATAAAAGTGCACACGTACACACACACATACACACACACGCAACATGACCTATTTATTACTGGTTCCTCTTCTAAAAGTTTTAAATCCAGATACAATAGAATTTTACCAGTTAATAATTAAACTAATTATTTATTATTAATTATTATTATTATTATTTTTTAAGATATCAGAAATCTTTTTTTTAATGTTTTTTTTATTTATTTCTAGGAGAGAGAGAGAGAGACAGCGTGAGCAGGGGAGGGTCAGAGAAAGAGGGAGACACAGACTCCGAAATAGGCTCCAGGCTCTGAGCTGGCAGTCAGCACAGAGCCCGATGCGGGGCTCGAACCCACGAACCGCGAGATCATGACCTAAGCGAAAGTTGGACGCTTAACCGACTAAGCCACCCAGGCACCCCTATTATTATTTATTATTAATTATTCTACTCACCAAGGAGAATAATCTCTCTCTCAAGTTTCTCACCTTTGTCTTCTTCTTCCCTTTCATTGTTCTCACTTTTGACCATGGGTAACATTGAAGAAATATAAAAGCTACTTCCTGAATTTGAAACAATTGTACTGACATATGCTTCCTAGTTAATAAATTATAATTTTTCAGACCTCATCTGGATTTGGTAGGAATCTTCTAGCTTTTCAAATATAGGGTGTTTTTCATTTGGATTTTCTTTTTTTTCTTTTAAGAGATGTTTTGGTTGGTGTTTAGTGAAACTAAATGTATTTAGTGAAATATAAGCGTACATTCAGTTTGCATAGAATTACGTAGGGAATTACAAGCTTCTTCGAAAATGCCCCTGCCCCCAAGTATGTGCAAACATGCAAGATGTATCTTATTAATGCAAACAAGTGGGCCTTTTTGGTTTGATTTGCTTTTCTTTTTACTCATTCTCACTCTCATAGAAGTATACACTTCCCAGCCTGCCTATGGTAACATTGTGTCCAAAAGAATTCTAAAGCCAATGGGAAAACACTAAAATCACATATTTCAACTGGGCAGTGCTGAAGCTAGTTTAAAAACTGAACTAATATTTTTTTCAAGGCTTGAAAACAATCTCTTATTGCTGCTACCTCACTGCCCTTATCTCCTCTGCTTTATGTCACATTTAATCTTCAAAAGGTCAATAATAAAACAACCAGATAGTTTCACCTGTTCAAATAGCAGGAGTATTGCGATAACTTTCTGGCCAGTGTGATTGCGTCCAGCTCTAACTTTGCAATCCCTATATCACGTGTCTTAGCACTTTCCTTCTCCAACTTTGGGAGAGTGTCTTGGTCAATAAAGTCAGGCACCATTAAGATCAGCAAGTTTACCATCCACTGGATCATAGAAATATGCAATTCACCCATCTGTTAAAAAGTGATTATAATATAAATGACTCATTTTAAATAAATCAAACAGTAAAAACCATACCAAATTTAAAAATAGAAAGCATACCTGTTTCTAACTTGCAACAACACTATTATTCTTTTTTTTTTTTTTTTGAGAGAGAGAGGTAGGGACAGAGAGAGAGGGAGAGAGAGAATCCAAAGCAGGCTCCACTCCCAGCACAGAGCCCAAAACAGGGTGCTTGACCTCACGACCCTGGGATCATGACCTGAGGGGAAATCAAGAGCTTCCTGGAAGTTTGACCGACTGAGTCACCCAGGTGCCCCAATGACACTATCATTCTTTTTTTTCCCTTAAATATAATTTATTGTCAAATTGGCTAACATACAGTGTGTAAAGTGTGCTCTTGGTTTTTCGGGTACATTCCTGTGGTTCATCACTTACACACAATACCCAGTGCTCTTCCAACAAGTGCCCTCCTCAATGCCCATCACGCATTTTCCCCTCTACCCCAACCCCCATCCACCCTCAGTCTGTTCTCTGTATTTAAGAGTCTCTTATGATTTACCTCCCTCCCTCTCTGTTTGTAACTATTTTTCCCCCTTTCCCTTCCCCAGTGGTCTTCTATTAAGTTTCTCAAGATCCACACTATGATTCTTAATGAAAACAAATCATCACTACTTGGCTAGGGTAACCTTGTTTTCTTTTGCTCATTCTACTACATTAAACTACCCTCTTCCTCTTTAGTTTGGTCAAGGGTATTAACCTATCAAAGCTGCAATTCCCCAAGTGCACCAAGGCATCACAGAGCTCTAAAGTAAATTCTCAAGGATGTCATGGGATTTTAAATTCTTGAGGGAAATAACAGTGATATGTAATATCTATCAGCACAGCATGAACTTAACATAGTTCATAGTTTCAACATGGATGCACTCTATCACTTTTGATGACATCTTTCCTTGGCAAAGATGGTTTTATTGGTGGTTGTGTGGTAAAAAAAAAAAAAAAAAAGTACTTTGGGAAAATCAAGGTTCAACAGGAAATGAGGGGGACACTGGCCCACCTGATTCCAAGGTTAGAGAAGTTGCACAGTGTTCAAGTCCATACATTCCATTCGTAAGTAATGTTGATTAAATGAGAATAAAAGAGTTTCTTTTTCTTTCAATGTATGTATATCTGAAAAGTTAAACTAAGACATTAAATTTTACAAAGCTTGTTTGAGCAAGCAGTTAGAATCAGGCAGTGTCAAAACCAAAAAATGGTTAGGGGATTCTGCAGGCAGGGGCCAGCAAAAAGATTTGTAGAGACAAGACAGTGAAGCAAAGCAAAGCAATTATTTAATTGGCTGTAACTCAAATGTTTGCCTTACTTGGGAAAATTTAGTTATTTGGCTCTTGTGACAGTTGTTCCTGAGTTTCATTTTTTCATATTCGAGAAAATCTAGTTGACTGTTTATGATTAGTCCTTGAGTTTTGTTTTCTTAGATTCAAGTGCACGGACTCTGGTTTTGGGTTGTTTATAGAGGCTACCAAAGGCACCAGAGCTACCCCAGTATAATGGTCTCCTTGTTTAACTATTTTAACATGTACTGCCTTTCCAAACAGTTACTAAGTTAGTAGGACACAAATATTTAGTAAGTTGTTTGAAACTACCTACTTAATAAACTGAACTGTGAGGGATTTCTTTGGTTTAGGAGTGTGAAAGTACTGAGGCACAAAGAGCAGTATGAACTGGTCAAGTTTGGGAAGTTCTGCATTATGGCATTTGCTGAGGCTGCGTCTCAGACATAAAATGCAGAAAATGACATAAAATGCAAATGTCAGACACATCGTACTCTTCAAATGTCCTATCCCCTTTCTCTGTTTGATAAGTTCCTAAGTATTCTTCTAGGCTTACACATGAACTCCTCTGAGAAATCTTTTTAACTTCCCCTGACCTTAATTTGTTCCTTTTCCCACGTTTCTATACTGCTCTGTATATATCTCTATTAGAACTGTTTGCACATCTGTCACCTCAATTAACCTGTGTGTCTCTTTAAGACATGGGCCATCATTTTATCCCTCAAAACCACACTGAGTACTTGACAGAGAATTAAATGCTTAATAAATGCTTGTTAAATGGATAAATAAAAATCAGACTTGGGAGCCTATCTGGCTTCCAATCTCAGAAGGAAATGTTGTTAATGACCTAAAGGAATTTGATGAGTGTGTTTTTACACCTTAATTAACACAACAGGAAAAGGGCAACTCTTCCTGACTTGTGATTTCACTAATCAAAGATATTTTCTCCCACATTCACAGGCTACATCCCTGCTGCTTCTCAAAAGTAAATAAATTCCTAGCTGTTCTTCCCTACACCAATGGCCTGGATTTATACTGTCATTCAAAGAACTCATTTTTGCTTACATAAAATGTTAATTGATCCTTGAGCCATCCCTAATAAAGAAACAGAAACATTACCTTCATTTCAAAGTTGTATTGGAGAGATTAAATGGTAGAATCTAGGGTGTGTAATAGTTCATAGGTGAATTTAAAATTAGAATCAGGGGTGCCTGGGTGGCTCAGTCAGTTAAGCGTCAGACTCTTGATTTCAGTTCAGGTCATGACCCCGGGTTGTGGGATCCACGCTCAGCATGGAACCTGCTTAAGATTCTCTCTCTGTCTCTGTCTCTTTCTCTGTCTCTTTCTCCCCTACACACTCTCAACAAGAAAAATAAATTAATTAAGTAAAATAAAATTTAAAAATAAATAATATCTATACAAATCATTTATATTTGTAATTATATGTGAGTAATTATATCACATAAGTAATTATATCCCGTTTTGCCCTCCCAACCTCCCTTCAACTGGATAGGTATGACCCAGTTTTTCCTTTAAGAAAACTCCCAGCTAGTGCTGATGCATAGGGGCACATGTACCCCAGTGTTCATAGCAGTACTCTCAACAATAGCCAAATCATGGAAAGAACCTAAGTGTCCATCAATGGATAAATGGATCAAGATGTGGTTTATCTATACGATGGAATACTACATGGCAATGAGAAAGAATGAAATCTGGCCATGTGTAGCAACATGGATGGAAATCGAGGGTGTTATGCTGAGTGAAATAAGTCAGGCAGAGAAGCACAGATACCATATGTTTGCACGTATAGGTGGATTAGGAGGAACTTAACGGAGGACCGAGGGGGAGAAGGGGAAAAATAGTTGGGGAGAGGGTGGGAGGCAAACCATGAGAGACACTTGAATGCTGCGAACAAATTGAGGGCTGATGGGAGTGGGGGCGAGGGGAAGGTGGGTGATGGGCATGGAGGAGGGCACTTGTTGGGATGAGCACAGGGTGTTATATGGAAACCAACTTGACAATAAACTATTTAAGGGAAAAAAGAAAAGAAAACTCCCAGCCAAGGCAAAATAAAATTTCACAAATCCCTACAAGTACATACGTGGCGCTGAAGTTCAATGTTACCATTGTGAATTTCATTGGCTATCTTCAAAAGCCATTGTTGAATCATGTTAAATATTTGTGCTTGAAGTACCCTGAAGGAAAAGTCAAGTAAAATAAAGATAAGTGACTCACTTAAGAGTATAAAAGTTTAACTATCAGCTAAAAGAAAAGGTTTTATTTGACTGGGCCTAGTAAACTTAGGTGTTGACAATTGTTTGAGAATTCAGAAAAGGTGAATGAAAGCCTTAAATGACCTGGTATGATGGCTTACTCTTGTCATGGCCTTCCTAACCCTGCGCAGGTAGCAACAGGCATGATGCACTTGGGAAAATGTAGATCTTACCATCAGTCCTAACTCTCTACTGTAAAACCTCACACTCCTACCCTTTACATTCACTTCTAGGCAGTGAGACCACAGAGTGAGAAGAACTAGTTTTAAAATTCTCAAGAGATCAATTTCCAACATGACACTGTGAGGAGCAAAGCTGATCCACTCCCCAGCAAAGCTGGGTGAGGACTGTTTGAAAAACAGAACCAAATGACTGGAAGTCTCTAGAAAAGGTCCAAAGAACAAATGGCAACTGAAGAAACATGTGTTCAAGACAATCTGTGAAAAGTCAATCGTAAAGGCAAGAAGAGTCTATAGTATTTGAAACAAGACTCTTCCCTCTCTTCCTATGGAAGCTCAGTGAGGCAGAAATTCCACTCTGGACTCGTGGAGTCATGAATACAGGGCTCCCTCATCTTCCAGTTCCCAGTCAAGGGCTTTCTTCTCGGGAGGGACAGGACATCCAAGGTTTCTTATTGGACCCTACCCGCCTGTCGCTGAAGCTGGGTACTGGGAAAATCAGTGGAGAAGTAGGGATTCCCTTCCATCCAATGGAAAGCTATGGGAACTTACGAGCCAGAATCCTTGTCTGTATACTGAGGGACAGTACCAACAATGCTTAACAAGGTATCCAACCGAGATTTCATTTCCCTAATTTTTTCATTAAGGCTTTCCCATTCTTCAAGATACATTTCAGGAAATTCCAGGACACTTTCCATCTTGAAAGAACAGTATTCAATAGAATTAATCAAACTTGGAAGAATTTTACAGATACCTAGAAAAGTGAGAAAAGTAGTCATAAGTCTACCATATTAAATAATAAATTATAAAATGCCAATGGGCAGGGCATATCTTTTTTTTTTCATCTTTTATTATCCTACAACTTGCCTAGTGGAGAATCTTGCAGAGTTCCTAAATAAATGTTTAGTGAATAAACACTGTGTAATCAGTGCTTTTCTGACTGATGGGCTATTAATTCTTTGATGACAGTTTATACTCTAAGTTTCTTGTCTTTTCTGCAGAGAACCAAATGTATTAAGTTCAGAAACCACGAACCACAGTTTTCTATAATAGGCATTAACTCATTCATTCTGTTAAGAGAACAATTATGATAAGCAGCTTCTTCATGATTACAGGATATTTAATAACAGGAATGAGAATAGTTTGGTATTTGAGTCTGTTTTTAGGTCACTGTTCAGGTTTTCATGAAGTTCATAGTTTTGGTCTGAAGAAGGATTGAGTCTAGATCCTAATCTTTAACCAATTCACTGTGAAATCATGGCAAAATACCCCCTCTATACCTTTGTCTTATCTCATTTGCAAAATAAGAGATGGAATGCTACCATCTCAGAGATATATAAAGAGAAATAATTAAAAAGCAAACTTTTGGGGCACCTGGGTGGCTCAGTCACTTAAGCGTCCAACTGACTGAGCTCAGATCATGATTTGGTTTCAGCTCACACCCTGATCTCAAGGTCATGAGGTTGAGCCCTGCGTTGGGCTCTGCACTGACAGTACAGAACCTGCTTGGGGTTCTCTCTCTTTCTGTTCCTTCCCTGACCTCTTTCTCTCTCTGTCTCTCTCTCTGTCTCTCTCTCAAAATAAATAAACTTTAAAAAAATAAAAACTAATGGGGTGTCTGGGTGGCTTAGTCAGTTAAGTGTCTGACTTTGGGTCAGGTCATGATCTACCAGTTCATGAGTTTGAGCCTCATCTCAGGCCCTGTGCTGACTGCTCAGCTCAGAGCCTGAAGTCCGCTTCGGATTCTATGTCTCCCTCTCTCTCTGTCCCTCCCCCACTCATTCATTTTCTCCCTCTCTCTCTCTCTCTTTAATAAATAAATATAAAAAACTAAAAAAGCAAACATTCTTTTGCTTGATGAAAATATTTCACTGCTTTCATTAGTAAACTTTGATCTTTTAGGAGTATTCAAAATGATCTGTTAATTTTGCTATCATTCATCATTTTGACTTCCTCATTTATTTCAAACCATTTACTACTTCATTTTTTTTCTGTCATTATATATTCTCATGGGTAAGTATTGGCATTTTATCTCTATTACTGATGACATAGATAATAAAGATTGAGTTTTCCCATGAGGAGTAGTTTTATGTTGAACAACAGTGCCAGTCAATGGACCAGGGTTGCCTGAACACTTTGCTGGGAAGGATTCTTAAGTAACATATGACACAGTTAATAAAAGTCATCATTCTCATGAAATACAGCATTATCCAGAATCTCAAATTATCCCTAGAATTTCTCACGATGTCCAACATCAATGTTGAAAAGAATTGACTCTTGTGAGTCAAGACAAAATACAGACAATTAAAAAAGACCTATGAAGACATAAAAGATAACATCTGGTTAGATGTTATCAAATTATCAGTCATGGGCAATTAACTGTGAGCAACATAAAAAGCTGAGAAGTAGACCCACACATTTTTTTGTCAATTAATGTATAACAAAGGAGGTGAGAATATATGATGGGGAAAAGACAGTCTCCTTGGTAAATGGTGCTGGGAAAATAGGGCAGCTGCATGGAAAGAAACTGAATCACTTTATTACACCATACACAAAAATAAAAACAAAATGGAATAGAGACCTAAATGCAAGACGTGAAATCATAGAACTTCGAAAAGAAAATGTAGGCAGTAATCCTGCCTTAGCAACATTTTTCTAGATATGTCTCCTGAGGCAAGGTAAACAAAAGCAAAAATAAACAAGTGGGACTACACCAAAATAAAACACACACTTAGTGCACAGCAAAGGAAACCATCAGCAAAACAAAAGGGTAACCTACTGGATGGGAGAAAATATTTGCAAATGATGTATGTGATAAGAGGTTAATATCCAAAATAGATAAAAAATTTTGACACCTAAAAGCTAAGTGATCTGATTAAAAAGAAGAGATATTTTTCCAAAGATGACATATAGATGTCTAAGAGACACATGAAAAGATGTTCAACATTACTCATAATCAGGGGAATCGAAGTTAAAACCACAATGAGAAATCACCTTACCCTTGTCAGAATGAGTAGTATCAAAAAGAGAAGAAATAATCAGTGTGGTTAAAAAAAAAAGCCCCCCCCCCCCTTGTGCACTGTTGCTGGGAATGCAAATTGCTGCAGCCACTGGGAAAAACAGTATGGAGGTTCCCCCCCAAAAATTAAAAAATGGAACTACCCTGGGGCACCCAAGTGCCTCAGTCAGTTAAATGTCTGACTCTTGATTTTGGCTCTTGCAGTTTGTGGGTTTGAGCCCTGTGTCAGGCTTTGCACTGACAGCACAGAGCCTGCTTCAGATTCTCTCTCTCCCTCTCTCTCTGCCCCTTCCCTGATCTCTCTTTCTCTTTCTCTCTCAAAATAAATAAATAAACGCTAAAAAAAAAAAAAAAGAACTACCTTATGATCAAGCAATCACACTATTGGCTATTTACTTAAAGAATACAAGAACACAAATTCAAAGGGATACATGCACCCCTATATTTATAGCAGCATTATTTACAATAGCCAAGACATGGAAGCAGCCCAACTGTCCATCAAATGATGATGGTATGGTATATATATACAATTTATTATTCAGTCATAAAAAAGAATGAAATCTTGCCATTTGCAATGACATGGAAGAAGCTAGAGAGTATAATAAGGTTAATAAGTCAGGTTATAGCTAAGGTTAATAAGTCAGTGAGAGAAAGACAAATATCATATAATTTCACTCATATGGAATTAAAGAAACAAAACAAGCAAGCAACAGGCAAAAACAGGGAAAGAAGTCAAAAGTTTCTCTATTCACAGATGACATGATCTCATAAAAAGAAAATCCTAAGGAATCCACTAAAAAACTACTAGAACTAATAAATGAGTCAGCAAGATGGCAGGAAACAAAATCAAATACAAAATCAAGTTTATTTCTTACACATGCCATGAAGCATCCAAAAATGAAATTAAGAAAACAATTGCATTCATAATAGTGTCAAAAAGAATACAATACTTAGGAAAATATTTAACAAAAGAAGTACAGCTGCAGCAACTTCTTACTTGACACATCTCTGGAGGCAAGGGAAATCAAAGCAAAAATGAGCTATTGGGGAGTGCATCAAAATAAAAAGCTTCTGCACAGTGAAGGAAACAATCAGCAAAACTAAAAGGCAACCAACGGAATGGGAGAAGATGTTTGCAAATGACATATGAGATAAAGGGTTAGTATCCAATATCTACAAAGAACTTACCAAAATCAACACCCAAAGAAACAAATAATCTAGTGAAGAAAGTAATAAAAGACATGAACAGACACTTTTCAAAAGAAGACATCCAGATGGCTAAGAGACACGTGAAAAAATGCTCAACATCACTCATCATCAGGGAAATACAAATTAAAACCACAATGAGATTATCACCTCACACCTGTCAGAATGGCTAACATTAACAACTCAGGCAACAACAGATGTTGGTGAGGATGCAGAGAAAGAGGATCTCTTTTGCACTGTTGGTGGGAATGCAACCTGGTGCAGCCACTCTGGAAAACAGCATGGAGGTTCCTCAAAAAATTAAAAATAGAACTACCCTAAGATCCAGCAATTGCACTACTAGGTATTTGTCCAAAGGATGCAGGAGTGCTGATTTGAAGGGGCATATGCACCCTAATGTTTATAGCAGTGCTATCAACAATGGCCAAAATAAGGAAAGAACCCAAGGTCTATCGACTGATAAATAGGTAAAGAAGATGTGGCATATGGAATATTAATCGGCGATCAAAAAGAATGAAATTTTGCCATTTGTAACAACATGGATGGAACTAGAATGTATTGGGAAATAAGTCAGTCAGAGAAACACAAATATCTTATGATTTCACTCATATGTGAAATTTAAGATACAAAGCAGATGAACATAAGGGAAGGAAAGCAAGAATAATATAAAAAAAAAAAGAGAGAGAGAGAGGGAGACAAACCATAAGAGGCTCTTAAATACAGAAAACAAACTGAAGGTTGCTGGTGGGGTGTTGCGTAGGGGGGAAGGGCTAAAGGAGTGAGAGGCATTAAGGAGGACACTTGTTGGGATGAACACTGGGTGTTATATGTAAGTGATGAATCACTAAGTTCTATTCCTGAAAACAAAACAATACGAAAACATAAATAAGTAAATAAATAACTATTCATTCATGTATTTATTTATTTTTATTTATTCTTTTGACCTCTCCTTAAAAAAAGTGCAAAACATTCTCAGAATTGTATAAAACATTGTTGAAATAAACTAAAGATCCAAATAATTGGAAAAACATGCCATGTTCATGAATTGGAAGATTTCACATTGTTAAAATGCCAACCCCCTATTAGAATCCAAGCATATCTCCTTATAGAAATTAATAAACTGTTTCTAAAATTCATATGAAATTGGAAGTGATTCAGAATAGCCAAAACAATCATAAAGTAGGACTCCTCACACTTCGCAATTTTAAAACTTACTACAAAGAGACAGTAGTTAAGACAGTTTGGTACTGACACAAGGACAATGGGAAAGAATTGCGAGTCCAGAAATAAACAGCTACATCCAGAAATAAACCACTAAATCAACTAATTTTGACAAGGATGTCAAGGCCATTAAATGTGGGAAATATGGTCTTTCCAACAAATGGTAATGGGGTAATTAGATATTCACATGCAAGAGAATGAAGTTAGACCTTTACTGCACAGTATGTAAGAAGATTACTCAAAATGGTCAAATAACATAATAGAAGAGCAAAAACTATAAAACTCTTAGAAGAATACATAAGGGTAAACTTCATTACTTTAAATTTGGAAAAGGATTCACAGACATGGCACTGAAAGCACAAACAAAAAAAAAAGAAAAAAATAAATTGGACTTCATCAAAATTTAAAATGTTTGCACTGCAAAGTTTTTGCACTGCAAAATGTTTGCACTGCATCAAAAAAATGAAAAAAAGCCCACAGAATCAAAGAAAATATTTACATTCATATATCTGAAAAAACATTTGTATCTAGAATCTATAAAGAACTCTTACAACTCAATAACAGAAAAACAAATAACCCAATTAAAATATGGACAAAGGATCTGTCTGAATAGGTATTTCTCCAAAGAAGAAATACGGATGGTTAATAAGCCTTAAAAAGGTATCAACATCAATAGTCATCAGAAAAACATAACTCAAAATGAGATACTCTCACACATTCACTAGGATGGCTAGAAACAAAAAGTCAGATAACAAGTGATGGCAAGGATGTGGAGAAACCAGAGCCCTCACTTTACTCCTAGATATATACCTAAGAGAAATGAAAAACGATTTCCACACAGATATGTGTAAACAAAATTTTGTATCAGCATTATTCATAATAGCCCAAAAGTAGAAACAATCCAAATGTCCATCAATGTAGGAAATGATACACAAGGGGCACCTGGGTGGCTCAGTTGGTTAAGCATTCAACTTTGGCTCAGGTCATGAACTTGTGGTTTGAGGGTTCGAGTCCTGCATCTGGATCTCTGCTATTAATGCAGAGCCTGCTTCAGATCCTCTGTCCCCCTCTGTCTGCCCCTCCCCCACTGTGTGCGCTGCCATTCTCTCTCTCTCAAAAATAAACATTAAAAACTACACTGAAAAAGGAAATGATACACAAAATGTGATATACACACACAATGGAATATTATTCAGCCATAAAAATGAATACAGTACTGACACAGGCTAAAACATAGGTAAACCTTTAAAACATTAAGCTAAATGAAAGAAGTCAGGCCCAAAGCGTCATATACTGTATGATTCCATTCATATGAAAGTCCAGAATAGAGAAATCTAGTCAGGGATGGGAGGATAGAAGAGTGATAGCTAAAGGGTAGAGGGTTTCTTTTGAGGTTTATTTTGACAAAAATATTCTATAACTGACTGCAGTGGCACACATCTGTGAATGTAGTAAAAATCACTGAATTGTATACTTTAAACAGGGAGTTGTATTGCACATGAATTACATCTCAACAAAGCAGTGCTCAGTGCTTTATTCTGCTTGATTTTTAAAACCATGTGTATAGTATTTTGATTTTAAAAATTAGTAGTATTACAAATGTAATCACTATTCTTTAGATTTTAAATATTAATTGTATTACAAATAATAATCACTGTCAAAATGCTTTATAATGTCAAGCAATGTGTCATTGTTTTTTTCTTACCATTATCCCCATTTATTCTTATCTCAAATTCTTTGTAGAGTCTCCCAATGGTTTTCACAATTTCTTTCATGTGGTGTTGCTCTGGCGGCACCTCCCCCTCCATACTTTTATGGCGACTAAATATCGCAAACCCAATATCTGTCCAGTTTTCCTGTAAATGTTTAATGATTTTGAGAGAATCATATTTCGACACTAGAGAATCCCCAGTAAACTTTTCTTTGTCTTCATCCAGCATCTAGAGAATAAGAGGGGCGACAGGAAAATTAGACTATTATTTACTAATGAGTTCATCAAAGTCTACCGAGATCTTTAATTCCTAGTATCTACCAATTATTTTGGAGTCTTACATCCTATTATTATTTGTTCATACCATTTCTTCATGCAACATAATTTCATTTTCAAAATTAAAGTAAATTTAAATTAATTATAATACTCTGCAAGGTAACCCATAGTTTACCAGAATGAAAATAATTACATTAAGTCCTATTTGGGTAAAAATGAATGACACGCAATAAAGGACCAGAGATCTATACATGTTTAATTACTATGTGGTTTGGTGAGGACGTCAGACTGAGAAAGTTGCTAGAATGTATTTGTTGTGTTTTATTTGTCTAATGTCAAGTCCAAGTCCTATAAAACTGTAACTTACATATTTGTGACTCAGAAAATGCAAACAAATCACCCATGCTTCAGAATGAGGAATTAGTACAAAAAACCAATGTAGCAGAGCAATTAAGGGCAAGGATTTGGGAGCTAGAGAGACCTGGACAGGTCTGACTCTGCCACTTATCATTCATATACAACTTAGGTTGTTGGTAAGTTACTTAACATCTCTAAGTTTCACTTCTGCCTCTGTGACACAGGGATTACAAAACCTGCATCCTTTGTCTGACATGAGGCGTAAGCACGGTAATGCACGCAAAGTACCTTCAGCCTGACAGGGTAAGAGCTTCATGAATAATTATTATTCCTACTAAGTAAAGCAGCATGATTTTTTTTAATCTTATCTATTCAGTGTCAAAATTGCCAGAGAAACAGTAAAGTCACTAAACTAGCTATATGATAAATAGGACAAAAAACATTTTCAATTCTGAGAATATTCTGCTCAAGTCATTCCATAAGACAAGAATATGGCTTCCTGGGATCTGGATAAGACACCATCAGGCCACGAGTCTGACATTCATTTTGGAGGGATCTCAGTATCTCATAGATTTTCCTTTGTCAGACTGCTAGGACATAACAGTAGTTTGATTACTGAACTCTATTTTCAAAACTCAGATTCTTTTAAAAAGACGTTACTGGGGCCCTGGTGGCTCAGTCAGTAGAGCAACTGACTCTTGATTTTGGCTCAGGTCACAATCTCATGGTTTGTGAGTCCAAGCCTGGTGTCAGGCTGTGTTGATGGCTTGGAGCCTACTTAGGATTCTCTCTCTCCCTCTCTCTCTGCTGCTCCCCTGTTCATGCTCTCTCGGCTCTCAAAATAAATAAACAAACTTAAAAACTAACTAAATAAAAAGAGGTTATTAACAAGCAGAGTGTAGTATATACATGCAGTAGAATATTATGCAGCCTGTAAAAGGAAGGAAATTCTGACACATGCTACCACACAGATGAACCTTAAGGACATTATGCTAAAGAAAATAGGCCGGTCACAAAGGACAGACACTGTGATTCCAGTCATATGGAATCACATTTATAGAGATGGAAAGCACAATGGTGGTTGCCAGGGACTGGGGGAGGAGGAAATGGAGGAGGCTAGTGTTTACTGGGTAGAGTTTCAGTTCCAGCAGATGAAACAAGTCTGGACATGGATGGTGGAGATGGGTACACAACAGTAAGTACACTTAATGCCACTGAACTGTACATTTAAAAATCACTAAACTGGTAAATTTTATGTGATATATATATTGTACCACAGTTTTTTTATTTTTATTTTATTTTTATTTAATTTTTTTTTTTATTTATTTCTGAGAGAGAGAGAGAGAGAGATAGACAGCATGAGCAGGGGAGGGTCAGAGAAAGAGGGAGACACAGACTGAAACAGGCTCCAGGCTCTGAGCGGTCAGTCAGCACAGAGCCCGACGCGGGGCTCGAACCCACGAACCGCGAGATCATGACCTAAGCGAAAGTCGGACGCTCAACCGACTAAGCCACCCAGGCGCCCCAACCACAGTTTTTTTAAAAGGTGTTCTTGGGGTGCCTGGGTGGCTCAGTTGGCTAAGTGTCCGACTTCAGCTCAGGTCACAATCTCTCAGTCCGTGGGTTCGAGTCCCGCATTGGGTTCTGTGCTGGCAGCTCAGAGCCTGGAGCCTGCTTCAGAATCTGTGTCTCCCTCTCTCTCTGCCCCTACCCCGCTCATGCTTTGTCTCTCTCTGTCTCAAAAATAAATAAACAAAAAAAATATTTTTTTAAAAAAGGTGTTCTTAATTTTAAAAGTCCAAGTTGTTCTTGAGACAAAAGCCAGGTACGGGAGTGGCACAAATGCTCCTTCTATCTGATGACTAGGGCCTAACTGTATTTGGCCCAAAAATCTAAAAATAGAACTGAAAATAAAATACTTTAAGTGTATTTTTAAAAGTCCCTGGCATCTTGCTGTTTTGTCTTTCATAAAATGTCATGTGGCATTCTCAAAAGATGAGATGTGACTCATATTTGTTGGTGAAGAGTGGCAAGTTTACAAACAGCATTTTGATTACCAAACAGTTTATTAGAATGTCTCACCTGTTGCCACTGCTTGAAATCTGCAATAACTGATTGGAATATATTTTCTTTATCAGGGGATAAATTGTCTGTTTTACTGGAAGAAGGAAAAAGAACAAGAGCAGGGTCTCAGAACAGTGTATAAACAAAGAAAATCATGAATCTGTACACTGTATAATAATATTCGCTTTCTCCTGAATGATTTCCAAGCATGCCTTCCAGGGTTAGCCCTTTCCTTACAGGCATTCATCTTTAAATTTCCAAATGTAAATACAAATATAAATTCAGGCTCCAATCAGACCTGAGCAAACAAGTTATAGGGTCAGAGGCCATAAGAGTATTGAAAGGGTGTTTCTGGGTCTTTGACATCCAAAATTAGATGATCAGAAGAATAATTCTTGTTGAATACAGCAGACAAAACAATACGTAACTAGAAAGGAAGCCTAATGAATAATTAAGACTCAACGTTTAGTTCAGGAGTCCCAACTTCTGGCAAGAAAGAGTTTCCTTTAATATCTCTGAGGTCTCACAAGGAGAAAGCTCTTGATAAAGAAGTTTTTGAGGAGAAAGAGAAGAGTGAACCCTGTTATCTGTGCTCTCCTAACCAGCTAAGAGCCAACAAACAGCAGAGACAGGCAATGGCCCAAGTCACCAGCTGGGATATATACCAACTTCAGCTGCCAGAACTTTCAAACCTACTAACTGGAAAACCGTAGAGGATCTGAAAAACCAACACCATTGTCCTCAATTTGAAATGGAAACAGTTCCTAAATGTGTTTCCTTAACAGACAAAACATCTTAAAGTTTAAAAAAAAAACCACCTTAGAATTCATTGAGTCAAGCCTGGATTCAAAATCCAGATTCCCACTAACTTTAGCTGTGATTTCATCATCCCACCTTGACTTAACTACTTTATAGGCAGCCTTGTCCACTGTCAGATTTCTCTACTTGTTACAAAGTATAATATCCAATCAAAATCAATCTCCTTATAACTGCCGCCCACTGATTCTATTTCTCTGCACATGCAGATGGATCTAGATATTCAGGTTTGCCAATAATAATGACATAAGTTGATGTGAGAGAAAAGGAAAAGAAAGGAGAGGAGAGAAGAGGAGAGGAGAGGAGAGGAGGGGGGAGGGGAAGAGAAGAGGGGGGAGGGGAGGGAAGGGAAGGGAGGGGAGGTGAGGAAAGGAAAGGAAAAATACTGAACTGAAATGGAGGCAGCAGCAGTCGGGTAGAGGGATCAGGATGGACTACAGAGATGCTTAGCACCAGAAACCACAAAACCACTCAAGCTCCTAGCAGGCCTGCACCCTTGGAAGGGCTGCTAGTTACCCCCCCAAAATCAATGTTAGAGTCATTACATGGTAAAAGAGAGGCAGGGAAAAAGAAAGAACTGGACTGAGTTATCAGACATGACACAGTATAATCAAAAACAAGAGTCTCGTAGACCCGGGGCGCCTCGGTGGTTCAGTCAATTGAGTGTCCAACTCTTGATTTTGGCTCAGATCATGATTCTGGGGTTGTGAGATCAAGCCCACCGTTGGTCTCCTTGCTCAGGGTAGAGCCTTCTTAAGATTCTCTCTCTCTCTCTCTCTCTCTGCCCCACTTCCTCTCTCTCTCCGTCTGTCTCTCTAAAAACAAACCCACAAAACAAAACCCTTAAAAAAAAAAAAAGATCCTTGTAACCCACCTATTATTTCTGAAAAACTGCTGCCATTTGGTAAGGCCACCGTTAACAATTTGCAATTTCTCCCTTGTAGAGTCTTCATTTTGTTCCACTTCGTTTTTAAATTTATTCATTAAGTCTCTCCACTTCTGTGTCAATTTCTGCAACAGTGCAAGATCTGCAGTGTCCTAGATAATATGCGTGGAATCAAGTCACTTAGTCATGTAACAACTACTTATTAGCATACACTAATAATGTTAATTAGTGTATTGATATTGTGAATACTAGAGACATCCATAGAAAATGGATCAAAATTGAGAAGATATTTCTCTTTTAAAATATTGTCAGTAATATCACATAGTCCCTTCGCTGGTAGATTTTCCATGGTACATAAAATATTAGGGACAAGATTTTTTCCTTTGTAATATGACCTCAATTCCCCCACAGGACTTTCATGGGAGGTAGTGTGGTACATTGGAAAGAACAGGAATTTCAAAACCAAACGTGAATCCTAGCAGTTATTGGCTATGTAACATTAGGGGATACTATTTCATCTATTTGCGATTAACTTTTCTTATCCAAAAAATAAAGACCCTACTATATATTTTACAGGATTGTTATAAGAATGAAGTGAAGGGCAGTTGGGTGGCTCAGTGGGTTAAGTGGGTCCAACTCATGATTTCAGCCCAGATCATGATTGCACAGTTTGTGAGATCAAGCCCCACATCAGGCTCCTTGCTGACAGTGTGGAGCCTGCTTGGGATTCTCTCTCTGCCTGTCTCTCTCTTTCCCACCCCTGCTCTCATGCACTCCCTTTCTCTCTATGTCTGTCTGTCTATCTTTCCTTCTCTGTCTCAAAAATAAATACACTTTAAAAATTTTTTTAAAAGAATTGAGTGAAATGACAAATATAAATGGTATGAATCTAGAAACACACTAAATGTCACTTCTCTCCATTTCAGCCAAGTATGCTCATTGAATTTTCACATAAAATTGCAAAAAATGCACAGCTACTTACATTTTATTTTCAAATACTAACAAATAGAATGATAAGTCTATAAATAACATCTTCAGTATTATTAACTTGGATAAATTGTTTAAAGTGCTTTAATTAGGATAGAAGACAACTATAATATAAAGAGCATTTATTTAAATTTCCTTAGATTTTTCATACCACCCACAATAAAACACAAATACAAAACTATATTTAAAGTGTAATCTATAAACTTAGCAAACACGTCTCCTAGTTTCAACCCTCAAAAGCTGGGGTCTCTTTTCCTATAACGTAAGTGAACTGATCTTTACCTTGACTGACAGCAGTATGATGAAATGCTTAACATATTTACTCCAACCCTTTTCATTGAGGTAAAGTCGTTTAGCCAACACAACTCTATTTCTTTCAATTACCTATATGAAAAATGTACTGAAATGAGGAACCTAAGACATCAATAAACCACTGTGATTTATTAAACCCAAACCAATTTCATGTTTCAATTTTTCTCTGAATCATTAACTCCATCACAATTTCTTACTTAAATCATGAGCTAATTTGAATCCACAAATTCATGTTTTCTAAAACTGGTATACTGGAGCCACACTGAAGGATAACGTATAGCACAGAATCCCAAGCAACACTTGCAAATTAGGAAAGACTTCAAAGAGCTGTTATTCATACGATCATATCTATTTGATATTTACCATATTGAAAGCTAAAACCAAACATATTTAAAATACATATTTGTTAATTCACTTAAACATAACAATAAATTCATTATATGTTAACATAAATAGTATTTTTATGAAAAAATAACTATTTTCTAAAACAAAAAAATAATGAAAGGAGAACCATTATTTTACATTTTTACAAATCTCTTTAATGTCTGCCTTAATAGAGCTGGATTTTCATATTGCTTCTGCATTTAATCTGCAGCAACGTCCCATATCAAGGTAAAGCAGATGTAACTCATATGCAAATGAGAGTGGAAAAAGGCAAATAACCTCTTAGTATAATGAAGAAAATAGTTTTCACCTCATGAAAGGGTCCCAGGGATCCCTTAGTGAGGTGGGGGACAGGGAAGGGGGGTGATCCTTGGACTGTACTTTGAGAACCACTGGTATATTGAACCAATTATATAGTCATTCAATGAATGACGGGTTCTAGACACTGGATATAGACACAAACAAAAGAAAAAAAGTTGTTATTTTCAGTAAGGTGGTATTCTAGCTGTCATTTCCTGTTGGGAGGAACTTTAGAGATGAGCTAATACAAAGCCTCCACCAATTCAAAGTATTTTTCCACAGAAACCACTGCGAGGGGTCAGTTCCCTATTATTTAAATACTTCTAGAGTGAAGAAACTCACTTGTCTTCTTTATACCTACTGAACATGCCTAGCTCCCTGTTATAGATTCTTATATATCTACTGTCATGATTGTTTCTTCCTGACATATCATTTAAAAATTCTGCATCAGGATGAAACATTGTATACCAGATGAGGTCTGACCATTCTGGAGGAAAGTGAGACAAAAGTGTGAATGTGTTGAGGGTTATAATTTCTGGTTAATACTTAGTGAACATAAGTCCCAGGTGTGAGAATAGGCAACCAACCAGCAAACATGTCAGAAAAATAGAATATCATGGGACTTTGCCACTTGCCTAAAGTATTACAGTGATGGCCTGCAGACTGCCATATTTCATTTCCTGTCTTAGATGCCAAGGTAATAGAACTAAAGTGGTATAATCCTAATATGGTTACACTGTGTGAAAAAATATGAACAACATTTCCTAGTTTATAATTACTATAAGTAGAAGTTGAAACTTTAACATGCTCACAAACAATAGAAAAAGAATTCTTGCTTATACTTCATAGATTCTGGTGAGAAAAAGAGCCCTTGATTAGGCAATAGCCAGATACTTAATAGAGAAGAAACAAAAGAAGACAAATATAACTTTCCTTTTTCAAGGCCAATCATAGCCACATTATTCATAAATTAAATACACATCTTCATTTTTAAAATTTTATCTAGATTATTAAAAATGGTAAAGCAAACTTGACCCAGCCAAAAAAGAAGTCTAAGTTATGATTCCAGGTAAACCAACCTTTAAGGCCAATTCATATGTGGCTGAGCTCCAGAGATCTCTCTCTGTCATTAACTGTTTAATATCAGACTCCATCCTTCCTCTTTGCAACGTGTATAAGTCATGGTATTCTTCTACAATCCTAAAAAAAAATTAAGAAGCATATACAGATTTCGTTTGTGAGAATTCACATTATTGGATAATTCTTATGATGATGGACATTTTTTAAAAAACAACTTTGGGGGCCTGTGGGGGGTGGGTAGCTCAGTCCATTAAGCACCTGACTCTTGATTTCAGCTCAGGTCACAATCTCATGGTTCGTGAGTTCGAGCCCCGTGTCGGGCTCTGTGCTGACAGTGAGGAACCTCCTTGGGTTCTTCTCTCTCCCTCTCTCTCTCTGCCCCTGCCCCATGCACGCTGTCTCTCTCTCAAAATAAATAAATAAACTTTAAAAATTTTTAATAAAATAAAATAAACAACATTGTTCTAAAATAGACAATTTGTTCCTTTAAAACTCATCATAAAGTAATTACGGCATAATTGCTGGATATATTAATAACACTAATATACAGTAAAATACGAGAAAAAATAGTCACATTTCACTTATAAATCTAAGTCTTAAAGTAAAAAATTCAACATACTGTTACCTGCTCTAAACACTTTTCTTCACATTGTTTATTCACTAGAATTTTCACAACATGGTATTCCAACAGAATAACAATACTATATCTAATTTAAGACTTCAGGATACAGAATAGAATTAGAATTTTTTTTGAGAGAGAGCGCGCGCACTGGTGTACATGCATGCGTGTGTGCAAGTGGAGGAGGGGCATAGGGAAAGAGAACCTTAAGCAGGCTCCACACCCAGCACGGAGCCCAATTTGACACTGGACTTGATCTGACAACCATGAAATCATGACATGAGCCAAAACCAATAGTCTGATGCTTAACTGACTGAGCCACCCGGGCACCCTGAATTAGGCATCTTCACTGAAAACACAAAGTCCAGGGGCACCTGGGTGGCTCAATCAGTGAAGCGTTTGACTTCGACTCAGGTCACAATCTAGCAGTTCTTGAGTTCAAGCCCTGTATCAGGCTCTGTGTTGGCAGCTCAGAGCCTTGAGCCTGCTTCAGATTCTGTGTCTGCTCCTCTCTCTGTCTCTCAAAAATATATAAACATTTAAAATATTTGAAACACAAAGCCCAGTAATTATGAGCCACTATACTTTTAAATTATATATAATTAAGATTTAAAGAAATTCTGTATCAACCAACCAAAAGATTAAGATTAACTTCATTCAAGTTAAGTACCTTTTTCTTAACTATTTTTTCTTCATGTTTGCCAGAACATAACTTTTCCTTCCAAACTTGCACTGAAGTTTAGAATTAAATTAGAATTAAAAGCACTTGTGAGATTAAATGCAAACACAGAAGCTGTAAAGGGACAGCATTTCACAAGCCATTTGAAACACCACCTGTTATGGAATATTAACTTTGCTACTAGAATTAAAGTCTGATGACATAGAATTCTTTTAATATTGGTGAAGGCCAGGAACTACCAGCATCACTTCTTGAAAGCCTTCTCTATTTGGAGATGTCCACTTGTTCTAAGTAACTAAGAAAAATTAATCACCTTACATGTCACACGGGTGAATATACATATGAAAATTCAACAAGTTATATCCCCTTAAGATTTATGCATGTTACTGCCTGAAAGCTAGACATTGATTTTGGAAAGGGAACTAATAACCCTTGTTTAAAATAGCAAAAGAAAAAAAAGTCAGAAACAACCGCTATGTCTAGCAAGAAGGGACTGGCCAAATAAATGGCTCTATGAGGAAAATACTCTTAGCTAATTAAAGATCCTGTTGTTGCTAATACTTTGGTGCATGGGAAAACTTTTCATGTTGTAACATGAGAAACGCAAATGATAAAATTATATACTCATTTTTTATCTCATTTATATAAAAAATATATGGAAATAGATAAAAGAAAATACATCAAAATATGAATAGTGGTTAACTCTGAGAGAAAGAATTGCAGATACTCTCTATTTCCTCATCTATGTGTTTCTGTTTTTCCTAATTTTCAATAAAATAATCGTTATTATTTTTTTAAAAAGTATTACTAAAAATTTCTAATCACAAAAAAAATCCCACTTCAGAAACATCAATTTTTCAAGAAAATGAGATTTCTTTTTCCTTCTCCTTCCCTTTCTCTCTGGTTTTAGATGGTTTACTCCTATAATGAACATTAGCACAAAAGAAGTTCTAGCTTATTTTTTAAATTCATTCAACAGATATCTGTTTAGTGTCTACGGTATGCGAGGTACTGTTCAAAACTAAACAAAATCAAACAAAAACAAAACCTTCACCCTTACAAAGTTTATTTGGAAAAGATAAAGAAAAAAGGAAAACATATTAAGTAGTGATAGAGCAAAAAATAAAAATAAATCAGGGAGAGGGGATTGAGAACACAAAATGCTCTCAGTTTTAAATGGGTTGGGGGGATGAACAAAGGTCTGAAGGAAGGAAGGAGGAAGACAGGGAGCTCTCTGGGAAAAAGAATTCCAGGACCCAAGGGAGCCTGTCTGGTATGTTCAAGGAACAGCACAAAGGTGACATGTCTGAAATAAAGTAGGAGAAGTCAGAGAAATTCTGGTTGGATGAGTCTTGTAAACCATGTTTTAAAAACGTGGCCTTTTACTATAAGATGAGGAGCTGCTGCAGAATTTTGAACAGAGGAATGACATTATTTTATTTGAGTCAAATTTTAATAGATCATACTGACACCACAAAGAAATGGAAAGATGGATGGAAATTAAGATGGACGTACTAATGCTTCAGCAAGTTTGACTTTGAGCTGAACAAATCTTTCTCTTCCTCATTCTTGAAGCCTTCTCTTCCCCTTCACTTATTTTTCCACAGAATCCTTTGTTCCAGGAACTTGGTATCGATGCTGATAGTTAGTCACAAGTTTCAGATGACCCACGCCAGCGTTGGTCATGAGATCACCTTGAAGGCATGAGGAACGTGGCCGGCAGCACGTACCAGATTCCTAGCAACAATCACCCGGATCAGCCTTTTACCCCAGGCAGGTCTACAGCTTTGAAGGCCTGCTCTAACCTCCTTTGCCTTAAAGTAATAAAACTCATTCCTCTTTACCCCCAACCTTTGTCTTCGAGTTCTATTTTGGCTCCAGAGCACAGAGGTTGGTTTTTGACAACAGTACTGGCTGGAGCGTGGAGAGCAGCTCACGGTGGTGTACAGCAGAAGTAAAAAGGAGATTCGGAGGTCACCGCAACACCCCAGGCAAGGCATGCAGGTGGCACGAAAGAAAAGTGGTGAGGGTTCAGCGTAGATAATGAGAGGTGATAGAATTTGCCGCTGGACAGGTGTGAGATGTGAGAGAAAGAAAGGGGTTGAGAATGACTCCAAGCATTTTGGCCCCAGAAACTGGAAGGATGGAGTTGCCATTAACTGAAATGAGGAAAAGAATGTGGAAGGAGTAGGTTTGGGGGAAAGAAGAGTTTGGGAATGTTAGGCATCTAAGCGGAGCGTTGAGGATGTTGAATATAGAAGTCTGGAGTTCAAGGAGGAAAAGAAACTAGGGGTGCAGATTTGTGAAGAAGGGCGAAACTATAGATACATATTTGTGAGCTAAGAGTATATACAGGTGATGGCATTGGAAGCCAGGAAACTGAAGAGATTAATTTAGGAAGCCAGTATGGATACCACAGAAATAAGAAATAAGCACTTTGCCGGTGAGAAATTGGTGAGATGAAAAAGAACCTGCAAGGGGTATCGGTAAGAAGGAGCAGACAGTAAAGGAGAGGAAAACTAGGAGACTGTGATCTACGGAAAGAAATTGTTTTAAGTAAGAGCAGCTGGCCAGTTGTGACAGATGCTGCTGTTGAGTCAGGTTAAATGAGAATTGAGAAGTGACCTTCAGACTAAACAACATGAAAGTCACAGGTCATTTTGACAAGTGCACTTTGGTGTGGTTGGGGGAATGAAAGCCTGATGGGAGTGGGTTCAGACGTAACAAAGGGAAGGACCAGGAGTTGACATACTGAGTATGACAACTTTTTAAAGAAGATTGCTATAATGGGGGTGGGGGGACAGGGAAATGGGGCCATAGCTAGAAGGGGATATGTATGTGGTCGGTCCTAAGGGACTTGGGAGTCTTTTTGTTTTTTAGTTCTTGTTTTTGAGACTCGTGTAATTATAGCCTATTTGTATACTAATGGGACTAATTGGGAGGAGAGGGAAAAATTAAAGATAGAGAAGAAAGAGGGAATATTTGCTGAAAATATCTCAAGTAGATATGTGGGGATGTAATAGTACACAAGTGGAAAGACTGGCCTTGGGAAGAGACAGTTCATCCACAGTAAAAGATGGGAAGATAGAATGTATGAGCACAGATGCAGGGGGTGGGTAGATGTAGGGGTGAGAGCTTGAGTTCTCTTCTGTTTGCTTCTACTTTTTTGTTTGTTTGCTTGCTGTTTCTACTTTTTAGAAAGGAAGCTCATCAGCTCAGAAAGAGGATGGTGAGATACTATTAGATGAGTAAGGATGGAGGACAAAGTATAGAATAGTTATCTACTAAGACAAGCAGGGTAAATCAGCTACAGAAAACAACAGTACATTCGGTGCACAAAACTGGTCAAGGTGGGGCACCTGGGTGGCTCAGTCAGTTAAGTGTCTGACTTTTGATTTCGGCTCAGGTCATGATCTCACAGTTTGTGAGATCAAGCCCCACTTTGGGCTCTGTGCTGACAGCATGGAGCCTGCTTGGGATTCTCTCTCTCCCTCTATCTCTCTGCCCCTCCCCCACCCATGTTCGTGTGTGCTCTCTCTCTCAAAATAAATAAACATTAAAAAAATGATCAAGGTATCCTTCTCATTCTAGTAAAGAATAAAATAGAATAAAAGTAAGAATATATTTTTGAATTTAGATTTTGTATACATTTGTGTTTTTCTTGACATGCCAGTCACTCTTCAATGCATACACACACACATAAAAAGCAGAAGATTATGCTGGATTATAAGGAATATAAAATAAGATACAGTGTGTGGCCGTAGACTGGATACTGATTTGGACAATCCAATGTAAAATACCTTTTGGAAAAAACTGGGAAATTTTGTTTATTTCTAGGAAAACTGGGAAATTTTGAATATGATCTAGGTAATTAATGAAGTGAAACTTTACTGAAATAGGTAGACTGTTGACTAAAAAACCAACAGGCTGTAGAACAGTATATGCAGTACAATTTTGGTTTAAAACAATGAATGTGTGCACATGTACATAGAAAAAAAGATACGCCAAGACTGTATAATGGTAATCTATAGGTGGTGAAACTGTAATAATTTTTTAATCCATTTTTGCTTGCTTATATTTTCTACTTTACTTATAAAGCACTATACTGCTTCTATGGTAGTATAATAAAATTATTTTTAATCAGTTAAATAAAAAAATTAAAATGCAATCAGATTTATCATTTGATATATACCCAAGAGTTTCCTAGTAATCAGAACTCTAAGAGAAAATGAAATAGAATATAGGTCAGCAGACTAGAATCTGTGGGTGAAATACAGCCTGCCCCTTGTGTTTTGTATAGAACATAAGCAAAGAATGTTAGATTCTTAATTCTTTACATATTTTACTCTTATATATTTTATTGTTAAAGAAGCAATAGAATAACAGTATTTTGTGACACACGAAAGTTTTTTTTTTTTTTTTCATTCAAATTTCAGGGTCAGCAAATGGTTTTATTGGAGCACAGGCACGTTCTGGCACTGCCCTTGCCTGCCTTTTCACCCTAGTGGCGCACATTACAAAGGCAGCGTGGATTGAGTAGTTGCATCAGAAACCATATCTCATCATCTGACCCTTCACAGAAAAAATGTGCTAACCCCTGAAATAGGATAAAACACTAAGATCACAGTAGATTCATTAAAATCTAAAAAAGGGAACTAGACTCATACTACTAATTAGAAAAATTAGTAGCGAACAAAATAAAACCGGATACCTAGTCATACCCATCAGACTGAAAGAAAATACGGACAAATGGAAAATCTCCCACGCCAACGGGAAAGTGTACTGGCACGACTACTTTGTAGAGTGTTTGGCAACATCTAGCAAGACAAGGCTGTGCACAGCCTGGGACCTAGCAATCCCACGTCTAGGGATACACCCTGGGGAAACTCACACAGGACGACATTTACAGGATGTGTATTAAACGATGCCTGGAGGAGTTAATATATATAAAAGTTCCTTACGTATATTAACTCCTCCAGGCACTGTTGTAATAAAAAACTTCAAATGTTTCTATAAAATTTTGTTCCTTCAAATAAGCTGTGAAGCCTCTGACATAATGGTTAACATTTGGTAACTCACTTAGCATTCTTTTCAGCATCTAAGAGAGCTTGTGCCAAATCCCTGTGGGCCTTCTCTGCTTCCTTTGTTAATTTTATATCATGTGCCCGAACCAGACACAGCTCCCTGAAATAAAGCAGAGAAATTTTACATTCATAGTTGAAGAGTTCCAGGAAATCGGATTTGTATACTCGGGAATCTTCTCAGTTACGTGTATATCTCTCCCTAGTTTTTACACCTTAGAAACCAAATCAAGAAATCCAGCATACTTTTGAATGGAATTCTGGCAGGTTTGGCAATGAAATCAGGGTGGCTAGAAAGGGCAGAAAGATGATGTGGGGGACCCTCTAGAATGGAGAGAAGGCAGAAGCTAACAGGCAAGGCCACCAGGCTGCTCTGTCCTACCCTCTGACATGCCCATTCTACCCTCCTCATTCTTGCCACTGATGATCTTGACACAAGCTTAGATGATCACTAACCCTGATTGCTACTTAATGCCTATCCTCTGTGGGATTTAAACCTTATCATCCATAATCGTGGCACTGTCTGTAAACATGATTAAGATCTAACATCTCAGTCCTGGAAGGAGAACAGGAGTCTTCTCCCTATCAAACATACATGTAGCCCTAGTTTTGTGTTAACCTTTGTAACCCATGTCTCTACCTCTATGTCCAGTCCTCTCTGTTCTCTTCCTCAACCCCAACAAAGGGGAAAAAAAGAGAGTCCTCACTTTTAACCGTTCTACTTTCCCTGTTTTTTACTCTCTTTAAAGATGTGGCTTTGGCCTGTGTTTTGCGTTTAAGATAATCATAGACTTTACCTGGTCAGTTCTTCAATAACATTCTTAAAATTGTACAACTCTTCTAAAATGCGCTGGTCCATTATTCGCTGAGTTACCATGTCTTTGTAGAAGTCAATCATCTGCCGGGCAATTTGGTCAAGCATTTGTACGTAACGCTCTCTGCATGAGACAGAGAGAAAACAAGGTATCATGCAAAGGAAAAGGAAGAAAAGAGCCAGAAAATATGTGAGAGAGAAAGTAATGTCAGGGAAAGGAATAGACACTCATAAAAGATATGTGAGAAGACCAAGAGAGGAAAAGAAAGGGATCTAATCTGTGTATTCTTGCCATGCTCACATAGAAAATGAATTGTGGAGGATTTTAACCAGAGTCATAATTATGTGGAATATACTATCTGAGATGTAAAACAAAGTGAGGACTTCTTTTATTTCTTCTTCTAAATTGTAAACTCTATGAGGATAGAAACCATGGCTTAGTATTTATATAGAATGGGGTTTTTATAAACAGTTGAATTCATGAATAAAACCACTTTTCTCAAGTTGTTTAAATGTAAAAAGACACCAACTGTTTAAAAATGAACAAAGAAGTCATTTCTTTCAGTTTTGAAGGAAACCAAATATTTGGAAGTGATTACAAATGATAAATTTCAAATGCCATGCTTAGCAGTTTTCACTTATATTAAAAGTGATCTAGGTGTTATATCCTAAGCTTGAGACCACTAAATTATAAAATCTTTCAGTTGGAATGGTCATTTAGTTTAATCTCTCACCCATAACAGAAAGAATTATCCAGCCCTTGCTCAAATCCTTATGCAGTTGGGAGGTGTCTATTTTAAAAACATCTTCTTGGGGCGCCTGGGTGGCTTAGTCGGTTAAGTGTCCGACTTTCGCTTAGGTCATGATCTCGCGGTTTGTGGGTTCGAGCCCCGTGTCCGGCTCTGTGCTGACTGCCAGCTCGGAGCCTGGAGCCTGTTTCAGTCTGTGACTCCCTCTCTCTCTGACCCTCCCCTGCTCACGCTGTCTCTCTCTCTCTCTCCTAGAAATAAATAAAACATTAAAAAAAAAATTAAAAAAAAAAAAAAATAAATAAAAACATCTTCTTTAGTACTTCTCTTCCTAAAATATAGGGATCAAATACTCTGAAGGATCTTCTTCTAAAAATTTTTTTTACTTTATTTATTTTGAGAGAGAGACAGAGAGAGAGAGAGCACACACATGAGAGGGGAAGGGACAGAGAGAGAGGGAAAGAGAAAATCCGAAGCAGGCTCCACACTGTCAGTGCAAAGCCCGACATAGGCTCGATTCCACGAACTGTGAGATCATGACCTGAATCAAAATCAAGAGTCAAATACTTAACCAACTGAGCCACCCAGTCACCCCTGAAGGGTCTTCTTATTACAATACAACTATATCCATGACACAGCAGACTTTCTGAAGCATTACTGGGTTTGGAGGAAAAAAACAGAAATCTCTAGGAGCAACAAACAAAAACAATAAAAGAAATACAGTAAGCTAAGAATGAAGTGGGAGGTGGTAATCAGTATTCACTAGGCAAACCCAAGGTCATTGTTGTCCCAGTAAAAATAACAACACTGTGTGGAGAAGGTAAGACGGCAGTGTAGGAAGATTCTGAACTCACATCTTCCCATACACATACCAAGGCTGCAACTACATACAGTACAACTTACTCTGAGAAAGACCAGAAGAGTAGCAGAACAGAACTTTCACAGCTAAAGATGTAAACAAAAAGTCACACAGGAGCCGGGTGGCTTAGTCAGTTAAGTGTCTGACTTCAGCTTGGTCATGATCTCACAGTTTGTAAGTTCAAGCCCCATGTCGGGCTCTGGGCTGACAGCTCAGAGCCTGGAACCTGCTTCAGATTATGTGTCTCTCTCTCTCTCTCTTCCCCTCCTCTGCTAGCACTCTGTCACTCTTTTTCTCAAAAAATAAATAAATAAATACAGGGCGCCTGGGTGGCTCAGTCGGTTAGGTGTCTGACTTCGGCTCAGGTCATGATCTTAGGGTTCGTGGGTTCGAGCCCTGCATCAGGCTCTGTACTTACGGCTAGCTCAGAGCCTAGAGCCTGTTTCAGATTCTCTATCTCCCTCTCTCTCTGACCCGCTCCTGCTCATGCTCTCTCTCTCTCTCTCTCAGAAATAAATAAAACATTTTTTAAAAAGAAAAAAAACCTTAAAAACATTTTTTAATTAAAAAAAAAGAAAATATAAACTGAAAAAAAAAGGTCAGTGAACTTAAAAGATGTTTCTCTGAAAATCACACCTTGATACACCTTTAGCCAAACTCATCAAGAAAAGGAGAGGACTCAAATAAATAAAATCAGAAATGAAATAGAAGGTACAATGACTCCACAGAAATACAAAGGACTATAAGAGACTACTAGGAAAAATTATTTACCAACAAATTCAACAACCTAGAAGAAATGGATAAATTTCTGGAAACATACAATCATCCCAGAATGAATCAGGAAGAAATAGAAAATCTAAGCAGACAAATTACTTGTAATTGAATTAACTCACTAAACAAAAAACACAAAACCAACAGAAGTCCAGGATGAGATGGTTACAAAAGTGAATTCTACTAAATATTTAAAGAAGAGTTAACACCTATTCTCAAACTATTCCAAAAAATAGAAAAAAAGGAATTGCTTCAAATTCATTCTATAAAGACAGGATTATCCTGATAGCAAAACCAAAGACACCACAAAAAAAAAAAAAAAAAAAAAAAAAAAAAAAAAAAAAAAAAAAAAAAAAAAAAACAACAAAATATTAGCAAACAGCANAAAAAAAAAAAAAAAAAAAAAAAAAAAAAAAAAAAAAAAAAAAAAAAAAAAAAAAAAAAAAAAGAAGAAAAAGAAAGAAAGAAAGAAAACCAGAAGTCAATTATCCTTAATGAACATAGATGCCAAAATCCTCAACAAAACAATAGCAAGCCAAGTTCAACAATACATTAAAAGGATCATTGACCACAATCAAGGGGGATTCATTCCAGGGATGGAAGAATGAGTCAATATCCACAAATCAATCAGTATAATACACCATATTAACAAAATGGAGGATAAAAACCATATGTTCATCTCAATAAGTGCAGAAAAATATTTGATAAATTCAACATCCTTTCATGATAAAACTCTCAACAAAATTATATAGAGGGAGCATAACTCAATATAATAAAAGCTATCTATAACAAACCCACAGCTAACATACCCAATGGTGAAAAGGTGAAATATTTTCTCTAACATCAGTAACAAGACAAAGATGCTTACTCTCACCGCTATTTTTCAATATAGTACTAGAAGCCCCAGCCAGAGCAATCAGACAAGAAACAAAAAATAAAAGGAATCCAAACTGGTAAGGAATAAGTAAAACTGTCACTATTTGCAGATGACATAATACTATATATGGCAAACCCTGAAGACTCCACCAAAATATTTAAAATAAATGAATTCAGCAAATTTGCAAGATACAAAATTAATAGCCAGAAATCTGTTATATTTCTATATACTAATCACAAACTAGCAGACAGAGAAATTAAGAAAACAATCCCATTTGGGGTGCCTGGGTGGCTCAATCAGTTAAGCATCTATCTGACTCTTGATTTTGGCTCAGGTCATAATCTCATAGTTCATGAGATCAAGGCCTGTGTTGGGCTCTATAGTGACAAAAGCAGAGCCTGCTTAAGATTCTTTCTCTCTCTCTCTGCCCCTTGGCCCATGCCCTCGTTCTTTCTCAAAATAAATAAACTTTAAAATTTTTCATTTAATAACAAAAACAATTTTTAATTAAAAAAAGAAAAATACAATCTCACCAAAAATAAAATATGTAATAATAAATTTTACCAAGGAGGTGAAAGACCTATACTCTGCAAACTGTAAGATACTGATGAAATAAATTAAAGATAACACAAACAAATGGAAAGATATATCCTACTCATGGACTAGGAGAATTAATATCATTAAAATGTCCTTACTACCCAAAGCAATCCACAGACTCTATGCAATCTCTATCAGAATGTTAACAACAATTTTCACAGAACTAGAACAAAATTCTAAAATTCATACGGAACCTTAAAAGACCCTAATAACCAAACCAATCTTGAGAAAAGAGAACAAAGCTGAAGGTATCACACTCCCAGATTTCAAATTATACTACAATGCATTGGTAATCAGAACGGTGTGGTCCACACACAAAAGCAGACACATAGATGAAGGAAATAAAACAGAGAGCCCAGAAATAAACCCACACTTATAGAGTCAACTAATCTATGACAAAGGAGATAAGGCTGTACTACAGGGGAAATACAATCTCTTTGATAAATGGTATTGAGAAAACTGGACAAACATAATGAAAGTAGACCACTTTCTTATATCATATCATATATAAAAATCAACTCAAAATGGATTAAAGGCTTAAATGTGAGCTGTGAAACCAAAACAACGTCTAAAAGAAAACATCGGCCATAATCTCTCTGACATCACTCTTAGCAATATTTTTTGGATCTCTCCCTTCAGAAAAGGCAACAAAAGCAAAAATAAGTAAGTGGGACTACACCAAAATAAAAAGCTTTTGCACAGCAAAGAAAACCATCAACAAAAGAAAAGGTAATCTACTGAATGGGAGATAATATGCAAATGAAATATCCACATGGGGCTAATATCCAAAATATATAAAGAAATTATGTAACTTAACACCAATGAAACAGCACAATTTAAAAATAGGCAAAATAGACACTTTTCCAAAAAATACATACAGATGGCCAACAACCAGAACCCTCATATGCTGTTAGTGGGAGTATATAATGGCGCAACCACTTTGAGAAAAGGTATAACAATTTCTTATAAAAATAAACTTAAACCTAACTTATCCCATCATACATATTTACCCAAGAAATGAAAATACATTTGCAGGAAAAGATTCATTTAAGAATGTTGATGGTAGCTTTATTCAAACTGGAAATAACCCAGTGTCCATCAATAGGAGAATGAAAAAACTGTTTTTTGTTCCACTCATACAATGGAATACTACTGAGCAATAAAAAGGAACAAGCCATCAATATATGCAGCAACATGGATGAATCTCAAAAACATGCTACATGAAAGACACCTTATGTGAAAGAGCACAGCTGACTCTTGAAAAATGTGGAGGTTAGGGACACTCACCCTCATACAGTTAAAAAGCCACAAAAAACTTTTGACTCCCTGAAAATTTAACTACTAATAGTCTAGTGTTGACCAGAAGCTTTACCAACAACATAAATAGTTGATTAACACATATTTGTATGTTATATGTATTATACGCTGTATTCCTACAATAAAGTAAGCTAGAGAAAAGACAACATCATTAAGACAACCATAAGGAAGAGAAAATACATTTACAGTACTGGACCATAACAAATCTGCTATGAGTGAACCTGTGAAGTTCAAACCTATGTTGTTCAAGGGTTAACTGAATATGTGCTTTATGATCCCATTTATATGAAGTTCCTAAATAGGTGAAACTACTCTAAGAGGGAAAGAAGTCAGAACTTCTGGAGAATTGGAGGTGGACATTTACTGGGAAAGAGCATAATGGATTTTGTGGGCTGATGGTAATTCTCCATATCTTGATAAAAGTTGTAAGATTATATTTTGACAAGATATACGCAAATACATATATTTGATTATATAAATGTATTTGTCAAAAGTCAACAAAGGCAGACAAGATTTGTGTTTCTCAATACATGTAAATTTTACTCAAAATGGAAAAAAGGTAAATAAATAATGAATTCTGTCTGCTTAATGATATACATGACAAAGAAGGGGGAGATACACTGAGGTCAGCAATTTACTTTGAAGGACATAAAATTGGTGGATGGATAAAAGGATGACTAAATGGATAGACAAGTGATAAATAAATAGAGTAAAATGTTAATGGCAGAATCTAGATAGTGGGTATGTGTGTGCTCACATTAAAATTGTTTCCATTTTTACAGATATGTGGAAATTTCCATAATAAAATATTGTAAAAAAATAAAAATAACAACAACCAAAAAATTGTCAGGTGTCTGCAACCAAAGATATTTATAGTGTCAACCAAAAAGATTATAGCAGCAGCTCTAATTCTTAGTAATGTGAGAATCTTATTCAGCTCATGTCCAATCTGGGAATTATTACTCCCCTATAAAAAAATGTTATTATGAAACTCTGTTGTACATGAAAACTTCCTTCTGCTACAGCAGGCCTCAGAGGCAGTTACATGAAAAGCAGAGACACACAAGCTGATCAAAAAGCACTCAATGAGAGCAGGAGCAGAGAGCTATAGTAACATGCAGAGACAGGAAGTCAGAAACTGATGGTATGCATGGTGTTACCATTCCCTGGGGACTTCTATTGGATCCTCACAACAACCTTATGAAGCAGGAAAACTCTTTTAAGATACCAGGCTCAGAACAACCACAGTCCTCCCTAATGAAGGTGAGCCCTGCTTCAAAAGACCTCCTATCACAACAAAATGCTGGCCATTAGATTATTCCAAACCTACTGAGTGTTTCACTATTCCACAGAAGCATCATGAATATTTGCAGCAATTAGCCTAAACTCTACTTTGTATTATTTTTGGAAAGAATATTCCGGGGCACCTAGGTGGCTCAGTCGGTTAAGCCTCTGACTTGAGCTCAGGTCATGATCCCGCGGTCTGTGAGTTCGAACCCCAGATCAGGCTCTGTGCTGACAGCTCAGAGCCTGGAGCCTGCTTCAGATTCTGTGTCTCCCTCTCTCTCTGCTCCTCTCCCACTTGCTCTCTCTCCCTCTCAAAAAAAAATTTTTTTTTAATTTAAAAAAGAATATTCCACACTCATGTACACTTTCTATTTATGTATGTATATATTTATTTGTTTAAAGCCCCAACATGGGGCTTGAACTCATGACCCCAAGATCAAGAGTCACATGGCCTTACCAACTGAGCCAGCCAGGTGCCCCATCACCTACTTTATATTCTTAACTCCCAACTTTATTATAAACCCTTGACTATGAAGCCCTACTCTGATCCTAAATCTGGTACTCTGGAGTTAATATTTTTGTCTCCCTGGTGACTCAACTGTTCTTAAATGATTTTGGTTTTGATTTGTCTGCTTGTCCCTTTCTGTCAGACTTCCTGGGACAGAGCCCCGCCTGATGTTGGCCCCTAGCAGCTAGCTCCTGAAATCAGCAGAAAGAGTCCCTCCCACTCACCCCTACTCCTCACACGGGGAAGGTCTGGATCCACACTTAGTCATCTAGCTCCTTTACATTGCTTCCTCATCCACCCCTCCAGGCTTTGTTCTTAGATGACAACTCAAACTTCAGCTGTCCCTGTCCTCATTCTAATATGCATTCCCCAGCTCCTGAGGTGCTCCAAGAACTTACTCCTTAGTATCTAATCTTGACCAGCTTCTTATCAATGGCTTTACTCCTCATTTCTCAGCACCATCAGATAGGAGGACTCAGTTTCCATAAATCAGACAGCAGGCAAATAGGGCAAATTTATGTTAATTCTCATTCAGGGGAAACATTCAGAGAAAAACTAATAATTTGCTTGTGGTTCCATGGCAAGTAAGCTGTAGATACATAATTTGAATCCAGTATTCTAATTCCACTATTCCTTCCAGCTTTTTCTAAAGTACCACTGTCCTAAGAAGCATATGACAACAGTATTTATCATGATCGTCTATAATAATTATATGTACTGATCATCTATTTCTGTGCTCTCATTTAACCTCATGACAATCTATGAAGCATCTTAAGGCTTGACACAGACGCTCATCAGACATCACTGACTGATGAATGAACAGGCGGGCAAATAAAAATGTTCACAGTAGTTATTACCTGTGTTTACAGATGAGAAAACTAAGACTCACACTTTTACCAAGGTCACACATCTAGATGATGATTTGAAACCAGATCAGTCTGTCTCCAAAATCTATACTTTTTTTAGTATTTCACATGGCACTTCACTCCCAATCATAAAAGAATATGGTATCAAACATTCCAACAGAAATCACCTTAAGGAAGTTCTCAGTTATTATATTTTTACTATAGCAAAAATAAGAGAAATGCAATTCAGTTCCTTGTTACCAATAGGATACAGATGGGAATTCTTGTGATTTTTTTCAAAAACAGATCTAAACATAATTGTGAAAGAAAACTCAAAAAGAAACCAGAATGTTCCAATAAAGGCTCTAGCCTGATTTTGGACAGTAGTTCTCCTCTATCTGCACAGTCCACACTGACTTGTCGAATAAGTTCATGAAATACTGTATTGTAAATAGTCTGTTCCTTCTTCAGTATATGCAGTAGTTTGTGCATCTGGCAGAAAACAAGGAATATCGTCAGTGTTTTTTACAGTCATGTCAGTAAAAAACAATTTTAGGAGGTAAACACCTCCTGAATGTGAATGTCCTAGAAACACCTTGATAATTTATTTCACTTATATTTTTCTTTGTAAATATATACACACAAATGATAGATTATTTTTAAAAATCTATGTTTAATCATGTACCTCTTTATATGGCACCCTGGTGTCACTGTATTGCTTCTATATCATCCCTGACAAAAGTATGTAACCCTAATCTTAATCATAAGTACACATCAAACCAAATCTGAGGAACATTCTAAGGGTTAACTGGAGTCTGGTCTTCCAAATATCATGGTCAAGAAAAACGAAGAACTGTTTCAGATTATAAATTGTCTAAAAGAACACAGCTAACAGCACTATCAGGGGGCACCTGGGTGGCTCAGTTGGTTAAGCCTCTGACTTCAGCTCATGGCATGAACTCATGGTTTGTGAATTTGAGCCCCGCATTTGGCTCTGTGCTGACAGCTCAGGGCCTGGAGCCTGCTTCAGATTCTGTGTCTCCCTCTCTCTCTCTCTGCCCCTCCCCCACTAACATTCTGTCTCTCTCTCAAAAATGAATAAACATTAAAACAAAATGTTTTTAGATAAATAAATAAAAGAACTATGTGATCTTGGGGTCCTGAAACAGAGGGGTAAATAGCTACAAAAACCATTATAGGGAGAATTGATAACTTGAAATTTGAATATGGACAGGTAATATTATCACATCAATGTTAAATTTCCTAACTTTGATAACTATATTATGGGTATGTAAGAGAATGCCCTTATCTGTAGGAAATATACCTTGAAATGTTTGGTGATAAAGAGGCATGATGTCACCAGCTTACTCTAAAATGGTTCATAAAAAACTATACATATAGAGATATGTGTGAAGGGAGGAAGAGAGAATGAAAAAGCCAGTAGGGCACAATGTAAACTATTAGTGAATTTGGGTAAAGGTTACATAGAAATTCCTTATACTGAACTTGTCTGTAAGTTTCAAATTCTGTAAAATAAAAATTTACAAAAGAGAAAGAGCCTGCATAAAGAAAAATATCTATATCCATGTAAGATTGAAAAGGCTCTTTTCATTAACAAAATAAACATTTTAAGTGGTAAGAAAGCATGGTTTAATCAGTGTTTCTATGGTACATAAAATAGTAAGGGTCTTATAATCAGTGGTGCCTTACAGTGAATGAAATACAGTAATAATAATATTAACAACATACATAGTGTTTACTACATGCCAAGTACTATTCTAAGCCTTTTACATATGCCATTTAATCTCTACAATCTTATGAAGTAGATATTACTATTATTACCTCTAACTTATTTTATTTTTTAATTTAAATTTTAGTTAACATACAGCACAATATTGGTTTCAGGAGTACAATTCAGTGATTCTTCACTTATATACAACACTCAGTGCTCATCCCAACAAGTGCCCTCCTTAGTACCCATCACCCATCTAGCCCATCCTCCACCACCTCCCTCCATCAACCCTTAGTTTGTTCTCTTATTGGTAAGAGTTTCTTATGGTTTGTTTCCCTCTCTTTTCTTTTTTTCCCCCTCTTCCCATATGTTCATCATCTGTTTTGTTTCTTAAATTCCACATATTAATGAAATCATATGGTATTTGTCTTTCTCTGATGTATTTCACCTAGCACAATACATTCTAGCTCCATCCACATCATTGCAAATGGCAAGATCTCATTCTTTTTGATGGCTAAGTAATATTCCATTGTGTATATATACCACATCTTCTTTATCCCTTCATCAGCTGATGGACATTTGGGCTCTCTCCACAGTCTGGTTATTGTTGATAGTGCTGCTATAAACATCAGGGCACATGTACCCTTTTGGAGCTGTATGTTTGTGTCCTTTCAGTAAATACCTAAAAGTGTAACTGCTGAATCCTAGGGTAGTTCTATTTTTAGTTTTTTGAGATATCACCTCTAATTTAAAGATGAAGATATTCAGGCACAAATAACATTAAGTATTTGCCTCAGGTCACTAGCTCATAAATGGCTGGGCCAGGATTCTAGTCCAGACTTTCTGGCTCTCAGAATGCATGCTCTTTAAACCACTAGGTTACATTGATCTTTGCAATTACCTTGGTTGGTGCTGTATATTCCTGATTCTCCACACCAGCCCTCTCTAGCATGGCATCCATCACATCATTCAGTTGGACCACTTCCACTCTTTTATTAGGTTTCCTACAAGATTAAGGTGGCAGATTTATGTAATTAGTGTTATAACAGGTCATTATGAAATGACAAAAAAAAATACATAGAAATGTATATAGTATTGAATATTAATGATATTTTTTAAAGTAACTTTTTAACGTTTTATTTATCTCTGAGAGAGAGAGAGACAGCATGAGCAAGGGAGGGTCAGAGACAGAGGGAGACACAGAATCTGAAACAGGCTCCAGGCTATGAACTGTCAGCACAGAGCCAGACACGAGGCTCGAACCCACAAACCGTGAGATCACGACCTGAGCCAAGATCAGCCGCCCAACTGCCTGAGCCACCCAGGCGCCCCTGAATATTAATGATATTTTAAAGCATTAGCCATGTATATACTGATCTAGTGGATTATACCAGTAATAACATGTTAAAAAAGAAGAAACAGGAAAAAGAAAATGTAAACAGTATGATCCTCTTTTTCATAAAATAATGCTTACCTCCAAAAATTCTATACAGTTACTGTGTAAGATTATAAGAACATAGAAGAAATGTGGAGAGGTAAATACCAAGCTGTGAATATTGGTTACTTTGCAATGTAAGAGAAGAAAATGGACAAAGGAGAGATAAGAAGAAAGAAGACTGTTGCAAACACCTGCTGTACAACACTGTGCCTAGACTCAATGACACTGTATTGAAATAAATTGTTCAGGAGATAGATCTCGTGTTAAGTGTTCCTTCTGCAATAAAATAAAATTTTAGAAAAAAGAAATTTAAAGCTGATAAAGTATTTTATGGTACTTAAATATTATTATAAATATGTAAAAATTGAATATGCAACTAGACAAATGAAAACACTGATTAGATGATAGAATTATGGACTATTATTGTCTTCAGTTTCTGCTACAATTTTAATATTTTCTGTATAATAAGTTACTATGAAAAATAAAATGTGTCTATATTCCTTCTGAGAAATACTTTCAAAAATTAACCATACTTACATGGATGGGAAAAGCAATAGTCTGTTTTCATTATCTGTGAGGAGAGTAGTATATTTGCTGCAATAAATAAGACAGGTAAATATTATTGTGAGAAAATTAACTGGCCTGTTTATCACATATCACAACATGATGAACCTGAGACCTCATGAAATGGAGAAGCTTGGAGGCAATCAAAAAGGTCCATCATTTTACACACAAGATCATATCTACCTATCTACAGACACAGATGTAATGATATTTATCATATTTGGAATATTTTTACTAAAGGAGTTTTAATCACATTCTTTATATGTTAAAGTATGCAAACTTTCTTTAAATTCATTTCTTTAAATGCCTTTTCAGAGGTGGAAGGATGCTCTAAGAACACCGAAGCCAACAAAGTTAAGTGATGAAACAGGTTATAAAATTAATAAGCGAAGATGAAACTAGAACCCAGTCTTCCTAACTCCCAGCCAGATCTATCCTCTGAAAGTGCTTGTTCACACTTAAATAGTATCGCAATGAGAACCACATGGTAATTCTTCTAATTCATTATTATTTATGTTTCTTTTTCTTCCCGTAGTTAACGAGCATTTCCTTTGGTTCTAACCCCTACCAGAACCAAGTTGGTTAGTAAGGTCCATTTTCAGAATTTAAATCAGTGAAAAATCTCCAGGGAATATAAAGATTCAAAATAAAGTTTCAAAAATGAGTGAGAGAAACCAGAAGCAATGATACCCCAGGAGCAATGGGCTGATCCACCACCCAGGTCTTGATTTCTAAGTACCATTCTCCACCGAAAGGAATCATTACTCCCGGGAGAAGCGACATAGCTCATTTCACAACCTGAATTGGGAAACAGAGGATGAACCTGGCAATCTTCAGTCAGAAAATAAGGAAACACTCAAAGAATGATGGGGACATGTCCAAACAGAATACAAGCCAGCTCAAAGGAGGTAACATTGACCAAAACTAAGAAATTTTGAACATAAAAACAAATAATCACAGTAAAGAATTATAACCCACTGAAAAAAAAATAGAAATCCATGAGTCCATCTGGCAAAATGCTAACTAATAAACAGATGAGAAATGATGACACTAAAAAGGTAATCAAAAAGATCTACAGCTGGTGGGTTGTCAGGAAATAAACACTGAAATATTTGGTGATAAGGGGTCATGACATCATGAACTTAAGTTTGAATAGTTTTAATGTGTGTGTGTGTGTTTACGTACACGTGTTTTCAAGCAAATAAGGCAAAATGTAAACACTCAGTGAGTTAAAATAGAGGGTACATGAGAGTTCCTTGCCCTGTTTTTATACATGGTATAAAAATAAAAACTCCCCCCCCCCAAATGAATTCCATTTAGGTCTCTTTGGCAAAATGTTGTTCTGAAAGCCACTGCCATAAGGACATGCCACATCACATACGAACTGGAACAGGTAAGACAGCCGCTGGGGACATCATTATAAAACTTTAGTCCAAAGTTCTGATTGTTTAAACGATGAAACATTCACACATTCTTTCAGAAAATATGAGCAAGATCCCAGTTTTCACTGCACAAGCAGGATGACAAGGAAAACTGGAGATGATGAGGGCGCAGGCTGGAGCGAAGCCCTCGTGTGTGTGTTAGTTCTGAGATGCCAGCTCACAGGGCTACTTGCCTTTGTCTCCATAGCCATGGCTCAAAGCCATTGCTAAAGAGGCACAGCCAAGCATTCAGAACAAAGATCCTTTTTTAAAAAAAATCAATTTTTTTAATTCAAAATTAAATAGTAGGAAATGACACAGAACAATATGATCACTAAACTCCCAAACTTTTTTCAATAAGACTTTTTCATTAGTTTTTGATCTTTCTTAAATTTAGGACAGAAGGCCAAATGCTTCCCTATTTCAATGTGGATATTACCTAGGAACATGGGCGAACTGTTCTCGGGTTCCTTTGTGTCTGGGAAGGAGGAAACAGTTCCATCTGTCAGATACTGTGTGTGTGTGTGTGTGTGTGTGTGTGTGTGTGTGTGCGCGCACGCGCGTGTGTGGGTGTGTGTATCACAATACTCACTCATCATAACACTCCAAACCTGAAACTCCTGTATTTGACACAATATGAAATTCTTCAGGAATCAAAGTATCTGTTAGTTTCTTTGGCTTAAAAAGAAAGACAGACAAGAATGAAAACATTAGTAAATGAAAAAACCTGAATTGCATAAATCAACACTCCTATCCCAAAGGGATACTATTTATTAAGTTAAGAGATTTTCATTACAGAGAGAACAGTATTAGTAACTAATATGGGTCATGGCAAGTAGTAAAAACTTTTGGCAAAGCACACATTAAAAAAATAATCATGAATTAAAAGCCTTGGTTTTAGCATTATTTACACATGTCCCACACATTCAGTAACCCACTGACTCTTTAGCAATGTGCCAAAAATAAGAATTCTACAACTTTAAACAATAAATTTAAAAAAATCTAGTTTCCTATACTGTATTTTCTAGACTAAAGTGGATAACTATAGTTTGGAAAATGGCTTAAAAGAAGGTATTCTGGATCTTTTCACACTAAATACCCTTTCCTAGAAATAATTAGAAAGTGCTACAAAAATTAATAAGCAATACAGGCTGCAGTTACAGTACAACAACGCTTTATATTTTAGGGAAATAAGTTTTTAAGTAGAGAAAGAGAAAATTATTTGTCAAATACTTTATTTACCTTATGAGGCACAATGACACCATCATTTGACTGTAATGAACGGTCCAAACGTGGAGTACAAACCGAATTCTCCCTAATCTCTCCTTTAATATATTTAACATCATACAGAAAAGAAATATCCCTAAAAAATAAGAAAAACAAATTCACAAAATAAATTTTCTGTCTGGCTACTGGATAAGAGTGGCAAGGTCCTTCTAGTACATGAAAAGGGGCACAAAATCAGTCTCCTTACGTCATACTTCACTAAGATGGCTGAGGCATTAGACATGAACCACCCCCACCTCCACCCCATTCTTCCTCTTCTCCACCTCACATTTCTCATTCACTTCACAAATTCTTACTCCTCCTTCAACTTCAGGCTAAGACACATTCTCTTCCCCAGGGTTATTTCCTCTTTGCCCACAACCTTCGGGATCTCATTCCATCAGTCTTTCTGTGTGTTTCCCCCTCTCAGAATACTCCTTTTGGTCTATAACTCAAGTCTCTTCCCCTTCTAAAAACCTTCCCTTGACCATGCATGGCTGTCATGTTATCATGGCTCTATCTACTGATCTCTCACTTTCTGTTAAACATCAGTTTCCTTGAAATTTCCTTGCAATCTTGATTTCCATCTCCATCTCTCTTTGAAACCACCCTAGAAAGCTGACGACTTTCCACTACTAAGTCATCAGTTCTTCCTTTCCACTATTTCCCTGTAATATTTCATCTCTCTTTTGATCATCTCTCTTTTCAGAAACACTCTCCTTTTTTCTATCCTCTGTGCTACTGGATTCTCCTGGTTCTTGGACTTCAGTTCCTCCTTCACGGACTTCTCTATGACCTCCTGCCTACTAAATGGAAATGTTCTGCAACATTCTAGCCTCATCCCTCAGTCTTTCCCTACACTTTCTCTCTTGGCAATGCAATTAAATCTCACCTTATCACATTTGTTACCTCCACTTAACAATAATTCTTCCTCCATTCTACCTTTTCACCCTCCTGTCCTCACTAATTCTGTCAGGAAGTACCACCACTCCATTCATCAAAATCTCAGCGTATATAGTTTATTCCTTCCCATCCATTGTCCTAATTTTCATACATCACTAATACTTATTAATTTTATAGTCACCCTCATCATCATCCCAGCATTGATCCTATTGTCTCTTGCCAGTGCCAGTCACTAGTCCAAGCTGTCCGTACTTTTTAATGTGGATTCTCAAGTCTCTCTAGTATATTCTATACACTTCTTCCAGATTCATCTTCCTATAGCACAGTTATAATCATGTCACTTACTGCACATGACTTTCACATGTCTCTGTCCCTCCCTCCAATTGCAAATAGTACAGCCATTATGAAAAATAGCATGAAGCTTCCTTTAAAAATAAAAAATAGAGATACCATATGATCCACCAACCCCACTTCTGGGTTTATATCCAAAGGAAAAATCCAGTTCTTGATGAGATATCTACACTTCCATATTCATTGCTGATTTATTCACAATGGCTTAGACATAGAAACAACTTTAATGTCCGCTAACAAATGAATGGATAAAGAAAATATGTATATGTATGTGTGTACCTATATGTATGCGTGTACCTATATATATATATATGTATTGGAATGTTAATGCCTTTAAAAAGGAAATCCTGCCATTTCTGACAGCATGGGTGAAGTTGGAGCACGTTATGCCAAGTGAAATAAGCCAGACAAAGACAAATACTGCAAATGAGGGCATAAAGGGAAGGGGGGGAATGAGGCGATGTTGGTCAAAAAGTACAAAGTTTCAGTTATGCAAGATGAATGAGTTCCAGAGAACTAATGTACAGCATGGTGATGACGGTTAGCAATTCTGTAGTGTATATTTGAAATAAGCTAATAGATCTTAAATTTAATCTTACCACACACACACACACTAACTATATAGAGGTGACAGATAAGTTACTTAGCTTGATTGTGGTGACCTTTTCACAATGCATACATTTATTAAAACTGTTGGTGGGAATGTAAACTGGTGCAACCCCTCTGGAAAACAGTGTGGAGGTTCCTCAAAAACTTAACAATAGAACTCCCCTATGACCCAGCAATAGCACTGCTAGGAATTTACCCAAGGGATACAGGAGTGCTGATGCACAGGGGCACGTGTACCCCAATGTTCATAGCAGCACTCTCAACAATAGCCAAAACACGGAAAGAACCTAAGTGTCCATCAACTGATGAATGGATCAAGAAGATGTGGTTTATCTATACAATGGAATACTACATGGACAATGAGAAAGAATGAAATCTGGCCATGTGTGGCAACATGGATGGACCTTGAGGGTGTTATGCTGGGCGAAATAAGTCAGGCAGAGAAGGGCAGATATCAAATGTTTGCACGTATAGGTGGATTAGGAGGAACTTAATGGAGGACCATGGGGGAGGAGAAGGGGAAAAATAGTTGGGGAGAGGGAGGGAGGCAAACCATGAGAGACTCTTGAATGCTGAGAACAAACTGAGGGCTGATGGGGGTGGGGGGAGGGGAAGGGGGGGTGATGGGCATGGAGGAGGGCACTTGTGGGGATGAGCACCGGATGTTATATGGAAACCAACTTGACAATAAACTATTTAAGGAAAAAAAACACATCAATTTGTACACCTTAAATGTACACAATTTTTGTGCCAAAGTTATCTCAATAAAGTTGTTTTTTTAGAAAAATGCTCTTAGGATGATGGGACATTAGTCATTATCACACCAGTAACTGCTAGAGATTGGCCAATACAACTCTGTTAGCTAAAAACAATGAATGGTTCGTATATATACATATGTACACATACACATCTTTCTGTTTTTTCATTTTTTTAATGTTTATTTATTTTTGAGACAGAGAGACAAGAGGGCAAGCAGGGGATGGGCAGGGAGAGAGGGAGACACAGAAAGCAAAGCAGGCTCCAGGCTCTGAGCTGCCAGCACAGAGCCCAACACGGGCCTCGAACTCAAGAACCGTGAGACCATGACCTGAGCTGAAGTCGGATGCTTAACTGCCTGAGCTACCCAGGTACTCCACATACACATCTTTCTAAGGAAAGTGTTGGTTTGGTAAATGTCATTCAAAATTTCTGAGTAATTTTAGGAGCCTTTATATTTCTATTATTAAATTATTGGTTATCTTTATTTTTAAAAGAAACATTTGGTTTATTTGTTGGAATCTAATTTTTCATTAAAAAATAGAGATATAGGTTTTATTTCTCATAAAACTCCTGTGGAAAATCACCTGCTTCTTCTCTTTTGGAAAAGCTATTTTTGTTCAGAAAACAAAAAAACAAAAACAAAAATCACTCTGATTCTGAGCCACCATATAAAAACTGGATCGCCCAGAATATCAAACTGAGTTCATCCTTCAAATTTTTCTTCAAATCATCACTGTTCATGTCTCTTATGTGATGTTGTCAGGGAATGAGGTATATCAGAGAGTGGTTTTCGAAATCCTTGAGGTATGCTTTTTGAAAAACATTTGAAAAACGTTAAATCTTTCTAAAATGTCTTTAAAACTTTGTAGCTTTCTTGAACAGAATATCTGTAACACAACATAATCTTTATTGACAAGTCAGGTAAGGACTTCTGAAGCCAGGAAGGTCTTGAGGACAGTGTGGTTACGTTTCTGAAGCACAGGTCAGCACTGGAATATGGCAGGCCCTGGTGTGTGTGGGGGGGGGATACCCTCTTCTGATCGGAGGGTAAAGCACTTCCCCAGACACACTTGCAGCCAGGGTTTGGGGTGGGAACTAAATTCCGCAAGTAGTGTTCTCTTCGGCAGCACATATCCTAGTATTGGGGCGATACGGAGATTAGCCTGGCCCCTACACAAGGAGGAAATGCAAATTCGTGAAGGATTCTGTGTTTTTTTTTTTTATTATAGTTTATTGTCAAGTTGGTTTCCATATAACACCCAGTGCTCATCCCCACGGAAGTGCCCTCCTCCATGCCCATCACCCCCCTTCCCTCTCCCACATGCCCATCAGCTCTCAGTTTGTTCTCAGCATTCAAGAGTCTCATGGTTTGCCTCCCTCCCTCTCCCTAACTAATTTTCCCCTTCTTCTCCCGCATGGTCCTCTGTTAAGTTCCTCCTAATCCTCGTATACGTGCAAACATATGGTATCTGTCCTTCTCTGCCGGACTTATTTCGTTCAGCATAACACCCTCAAGTCCCATCCATGTTGCTACACATGGCCAGATTTCATTCTTTCTCATGCCATGTAGTATTCCATTGTATAGATAAACCACATCTTGATCCATTCGTCAGTTGATGGACACTTAGGTTCTTTCCATGTTTTGGCTATTGTTGAGAATGCTGCTTTTAAATAAATAAATAAGTTCCACAAGTAGATGCACTTTTGCAAGATTTTAGAGGTAGAAGTGAGACAGAAGCCATTTTCCTGTCATGCTTTTAGCGGATTCTGCTGGCAACACCATGGAAAAGTGGTTTTCCGGAAGCAACATTCCAGAACCCACCCTCTAGCTATCTGGATCCAGAGGGGGCAGTACAGTAATAGCAGTGACAATAACAGTGACGACATCAGTGACAGTTTTATGATTTCAGCTGCCGGATCTTTGGATCTCAGTTAAGGGGACCTTTTTTTTTTAATTGCAGTATCATTCACATACCATAAAATTCATTTTTTAAATTAAAGAGCACAATTTACAAACTTTTAGTATATTCACAAGTTTTTATTATATTCACAATTTACAAATTTTAATAGATTTATTAAGTTGTATAACCACCACCAGTATATATTTCCAGACTATTTTTATCACCCCCCCTCAGAAAAATCCGTACTCATTAGCAGTAACTCCCCACTCTCCTCTCCAGCCTCACCTCAGCAACCAGTTATCTACTTTTGTCTCTACGGATTTGCCTCTCCTGGACTTTTGGCATAAGCAGAAACACACAAGTGCCCTTTTACGACTGGCTTCCTTCATGTAGCATGTTTTCAAGGTTCATCAATGTTATAGCTTGTATCAATACATCATTCCTTTTTATGGTTGGATAATATTCCACAGTAGATGACATTTTGTTTATTTTTTCATCAACAGATGGAGACTTGGTTTGTTTCCACATTTTGGCTGCACGAATAATGGTGCCATGAACACTCATGCAAGTTTCTGTGCAGACATATATTGTCAGTTCTCTCGGGTATACAACTAGGAGTGGAATTGCTGTGTCATATGATAAGCCTATGTTCACATTTTTGAGGAACTGCCCAAGTGTTTTCCAAAGAGGCTGCTCCATTTTACATTCCCACCAGCAATGGCTGACACTTCCAGTGTCTCTACATCGTCATAAATGCTCATTATCATCTGCTTTTTGACTGTGGTCATCCAGCAGGTGTGAAATCTCTTCATGGTTTCATTTGCATTTCCTTATGGCTATTGATGTTGAGCATCTTTTCATGTGCATATTGGCTATCTTTATCTTCTTTGGACAAATGTCTATTCAAGGGGGCATACACTTTTTGAGAGAGAGAGAGCATGCGTGAGCAGGTAAGGGGCAGAATGAGGGAGAGAATCCCAAGCAGTCTCCACATTCAGCAGAGCCCAGTGTAGGGCTCGATCCCATGACCCTGGGATCATGACCTGAACGGACAGGAATCAGACGCTTAACGGACAGGGTCCCCAAGGAGGCATACTCTTGAAGTCTTCTTGCAGCCTTGGAGGTAAGTAGCCTGCACGGGGGGTGAATTCCATCCTGTTCTGAGACTTATTCCCAGAAGTAGTGCTTCACACCTGCTCCTTTAGCCCTTCCAACAATTTTACAAATACTTGATTTGCTGCTTAAAACAGGTTTTATTTTCTGCACCGAACTCTGACTGATACAGCTTTCGAAAAACATTCCTCAGAGGCTATTTGCTGGGTTGTTTTGTATTTTACATTGTGCTCTACACTCTAAATATTTAAGGTTGCTGGACAAGCTTCTTCGTGTCACAAATACTATCAGTGATGCATACATGTATTCGTTTTCTACCGGAGCCAGAATGAATCGCCACAAACTTAGCAGCTTAAACAACACAGGTGTGTTACCTTACAGTCTATGGGTCAGAAGTGCAACACAGGTCTCGTGGGGTAAAATCAAGGTGTCGGCAGGGCTGCACTCCTTTCCGGACACTCCAGGGGAAGATCCACTTCCAGGGGATGTCCACTGAGTTATGAACGGAACTCAATTCCTTGCAGTTCTAGGACTGAGATCTCTGTTTCCTGGACAATTGTCAACTGAGGGCCATACCAGCTTCTAGAGGCCGACAGCAATTCTTAGCCTGTGTCCTCCCTTCCTCCATCTTTAAAGCCAGCAACAGTAGGCTGAACCCCTTCCCTCTCGCGCTTTGAATCTGTCGTCTTTCCTCTGCCTCATCTCTCCGGCCCATTCAGCTTCCTTCTTTTTCTACTCACTCTAAAGCCTGAGGTAGTTAGGTTGGGTCCATCCCAAGAATCCAGGTAGTGTCTCCATCACAAAGTCCTAACCTTCATCACATCTGCAAAGTCCCTTCTGCTATGTAAGGTATGTAGTCGGGTCCTGAGCTACAGTGAGAACATCTGGGGGGGAGCCCGTTATCCTTTTTACCACAATAAATATCTTCACAGTTTAAAACTTCCAACTCAGAAGTCGTTTGACATTAAAACTTTAATGTCGGGTTACTGTTGCATTCAGATATAGCTTATTATTTTTTTCAAAGTACTTCAAGCGTAACTACTAATTATTGCTACTAATAATTATAACCATAACCTGAAGATATAAAATAAAGTATAGATATTTTGACACAAAGCCCCAGGACACAAAAGTTAAGAGCCCAAGTTCCTGCCATTTTTTCCAGCACTGAGACATAGCTGGATAATAACAGCTTATATTCAAATAGCACTGTATATGGGCAGCTGGCTGGTTCAGTTAGTAGAGCATGTGACTCCTGATCTCAGGTCATAAGTTCAAGCCCCATGCTGGGTGTAGATCTTGATAGACAGAGAGAGAGAGCATTGTTCATTATCTTCTTTATAATACGTGCTTTTACAATACCCCTGGGAGTTACACAAAATGGACTAAGTCCATTTTTCTCTTTTTACAAATGAGCAAATGGAACTCAGACTAAATAACCACCAGAACATTCCTTTTAGGTGAAGTGATCTCATGAGGGGCATACAACTGATAAATGGACTAGGCAGAGAAAATGAGCAGGTCACAATCTTCACAGGGAAAATGGCAACATTTAGAAAATTTTCAGGAATGGTTTAAAACAAACAGTACTTGTTGATTTGATCTGAAACAGTGTAAAGGTTGAGCTTTCACTTTGAGGAAAACCAGGAAGTAAGTACTTGCTTTTCAAGGTTTTCATGAAGCTATGTTATCTTATTCTTCTTAAAAGAACAAATGAAAGAGGCACTAAAGGCACTCTATCAGATCTTGTCCCTTTTACTAGGGGACAACAAGGGACAGAAGGGTGAGTGGACAAGTACAGAAAGGTGTGCAAAAAGCAAATCTAAACAAACCAAAGTTGGTAGAGATAAGAAACACACACACACAGAAGGATGGTCCTGTACCTTCTTCAGACTGCATTCTGCTTCATCAAAAATACAGCAGGCTTGGGGCGTCTGGGTGGCTCAGTCAGTTGAGCGTCCGACTTCGGCTCAGGTCACGATCTCACATTAGTGGGTTCGAGCCCCGCGTCGGGCTCTGTGCTGACTGCCAGTTCAGAGCCTGGAGCCTGTTTCAGATTCTGTGTCTCCCTCTCTCTCTGACCCTCTCCTGCTCACGCTGTCTGTCTCTCTGTCTCTGTCTCTCTCTGTCTCTCTCTCAGAAATAAATAAAAACATTAAAAAGAAGTACAGCAGGCTTTAAACTTAAAATCTTGGATGCTGTGATTTTTCCAGTTGTGCCACTCCCAAAGAGATGAGATAAAAAGAGAAAACGACTCAAATCATCTGCATCGACCCTACCATCTGCCTCTTTACCTTCCAGCACCCGTTAGGGAAACAGGATGGTCAATCAGGTACTTGAACTTAGTTCTTCGAATAGGGTGATGCCAGACTTGGTCAGTAGGGCGTGGAAGAGTACCCTGGGGAAAAAGCAAATACATGAATACACGGCAGAGGGCGCTCTAGACAAATGAAATCAATCCTTAATCCTTTCCAATGTTTACATTAAGGGCATGTGGACAGTCTATGGAGACAAAGAAAGAAAAAGAGCAGAATTCTCATTCAATACTATGGAGGAAAAGTAAAACTAGGACAATTCCAAGGTGAAAGATAAGTATCAAGACTAAGAGTAGTAATGATTGCTCAGGTAAATCACATTTAAAAAAGCATTTCCTTGGCAACGCTGGTGCAAACGATTTTAGTTTTCAAACTAAGAACTTAATTTTAAATTATTCTGAAAGACAATCGAGAATATATAATATTTAAAAAGAAAAACAACAGGCCTAAAATGGAGTCACTTGTGGTAAGCCCCACATCAGCAAGCCAACACTTAAGTAACACCTTACCTAACTGCAGTTCTGGCATCCCCCCGAGGGGCATTTTAAGGCCATCGGCTGGGAGTTCCTGATCAGCACAGGTGAGGTAATCAGCCTGACAGTCTCCCACCGTCCCCCTGGGGGAAGATGACCTTGCCTGAAATAATCCTCTTTTGTTAATGGCTTCCTTGTCCCTGCCCCCTTCCGCCAGTAAAAGCCCTCTATTTCGTACAGCTCCTCAGAGCTCCTTTCCACTTCCTATGTGGGATGCTGCCTGACTCATGAATTGTTGAAGAAAGCCAATTAGATCTTCACATTTACTCAGTTGAATTTTGGTTTTTAACAATAACACGCAGAGTAATTATTTAATGAACCGGATACCAAGAAGATGTGTTCCCAAGTACTCCATGTATGTGTATGTTCACCTTTGGGGTTTTAACCTTCTTAGGAGGCAGTAAGATTTCAGGACAAGGACCAGCATTGGCTGCAGAGCTCAGAGAAAGAAGAACCTCCTCAGGGATAAACTCATTTGGAAGGGATGCAAGAAGGGGTTTTGAACGAGGCACCATATTCTTTTTCTCCTTTAGTTCCGGCAGTCCTAAGAAAATGATGGGAAAGAAAAACATGCTGTAGTTTTTTGTAGACTTCGCTGGAGATTTCCAAGCTGCCTCAATACCATCTGTATGCTTCTAACAGAGAAAACACTGCTTCCGGTTGCCGAAAACATAACAATATTTTAAACACTGAACATCATCTTGTCAAAAAAAACACAAAAAAAACTCACATTGCTCGCCCTCCTCCCCTTTACATCACTCGCAGCTTCAAAAACCGAGGCACAATTATCCAAATTCCAAATTGAAAATTAAACTCATTTCATGTTTCTCTATTAAGTGGGATAAGCCTTAACATGATGGAAATGTCTATTTTCTCTTTGATGTGAAAATGACAAAAGAAATCTCTCCTCAAGGCTGTCAAATTGTTGAGTAATTATTTCTGTGTGAATTCAAAGGTGAGAATAATTTACATGAAATCAAGGCATGTGTAGCGTGGAAGGGATCAGAGTTGGGTTTAAGAGCGAAAGCAGAATTAGCATGGTTGGAAATGAAGACAGCAGAATCATTTGCGCAAACTGGCAGAGGAGGAACGTTAGGAAGAACATTCTATGCAGCCTGACTAGGGCAGAAGAATTGTGAAGATGGGGAATGGGGACAAATAGGGAAAGGCCTCCTATGAAGTCAGTCAAGGAGGGCTGGGCTGTCACCATTACAGAACTCTCCGCTGATCTGTGTTTCCTCACAAAGTATGGCTTATGTTAATTTCTATAAGGAGGTGTCCTGCAGAACTTCTCAAGTTCACATTACCAAATCCCTTTGTCTCTTGCATGTTTGAAAAGGAGTTAGACTATCACAATGGGGAGGGGGGGAGGGGAATGCTGGGTGGGGCTTTAGCACAATCTTCCCTGAAAACAAGATGAAAATGTTGGAGGGAGTTCAGCATGGGAGTAGGAATGGGCCTAGCTGATTCTTATACTAGTACAGATCTGCATGTATCTATATATGAATGAAAATCTTAAATAAGGAATTCTTGTCATTTAGAGTAACCACTAAAACCCTGATACAAACCGGTTCCTTAAAGTCAGACACCAGGTATGAAAAAAAGTAGTTTCACGCAACTATTGGTACTTATAATGGGTGAATTTAAAACAATATAAAACTGGGGCGCCTGAGCAGCTCAGTCAGTTAAGTGTCAGACTTGGGCTCAGGGCATGATCTCACTCTTCATGAGTTCAAGTCCCTCACTGGGCATCACTGCACACAGCTCACTATGGATCTTCAGTTCCCCTCTCTCTCTGGCCCTCCCTGGCTTGTGCTTGCTTGAGCTCTCTCTCAAAAAAAATAAACATTAAAAAAAAATTAAATAATAAAACAATATAAAACTCATCACCATTTGGGGCACCTGGGTGGTGTAGTGAGTTAAGCATGGGGCTCTTGGTTTCCACTCAGGTCATGATCCCAGTTTCGTGGGTTTGAGCCCTGCATCAGGCTCTGCGCAGGGAGCACTGAGTCTGCTTGAGATTCTCTCTCTCTCCCTTAACCACCTGTGCTGTCTCTGCCTCTCTCTAAATAAATAAATAAAACTTAAAAAAAAAAAAAAAGAAACAACTCATCATCCCCATAACCAGTAAAGAAATCAAAGTAGTAATCAAAAATCTCCCCAAAAACAAGAGTCCAGGGCCAGATGGCTTTCCAACGGAACTCTACCAAACATTTAAGGAAGAGTTAACACCTATTTTCTTGAAGCCAGTCCAAAAAATAGAAATGGAAGGAAAACTTCCAAACTCTTTCTATGAAGGCAGCATTACCTTGATTCCAAAACCAGACAAAGACCCCACTAAAAAGGAAAAATATAGACTGCTCTCCCTGATGAACATGGACGCAAAAATCCTCAATTAGATATTAGCCAACTGGATCCAATAATACATCAAAAAAATTATTCATCACGACCAAGTGGGATTTATTCCTGGAATGCAGGGCTGGTTCAATATACACAAAACAATCAATGGGATTCATCACATCAATAAAAAAAGTGACAAGAACCACATGATCCTCTCAATAGATGCAGAGAAACCATTCGACAAAATACAGCATTCTTTCTTGTTTAAAAACCCTCAAGAAAGTAGGGATAGAAAGATCATAACTTGAGATCATAAAAGCCATATATGAAAGACCCAATGCTAACATCACCCTCAATGGAGAAAAACTGAGAGCTTTCTCCCTAAGGTCAGGAACAAGACAGGGATGTCCACTGTCACCAATGTTATTCAACATAGTACATAGTATTGGAAATCTTAGCCTCGGGGTGCCTGGGTGGCTTAGTTGGTTAAGCGTCCGACTTTCGCTTAGGTCATGATCTCGCAGTTCGTGGGTTCGAGCCCCGCATCGGGCTCTGTGCTGACTGTCAGCTCAGAGCCTGGAGCCTGTTTCAGAGTCTGTGACTCCCTCTCTCTCTGACCCTCCCCTGCTCACGCTGTCTCTCTCTCTCTCTCCTAGAAATAAATAAAACATTAAAAAAAATAAAAAAAAAAAAAGGAAATCTTAGCTTCAGCAATGAGACATCACAAAGAAATAAAAAGCATGCAGTTCAGCCAGGAGGAGGTCAAACTTTCACTCTTTGAGATGACATGATACTTTATATGGAAAACCCAAAACATTCCACCAAAAAACTGCTAGAACTGATTCATGAATTCGGCAAAGTGGCAGGACATATAATCAATGCACAGAAATTGGTTGCATTCCTATACACCAAAAATGAAGCCATAGAAAGAGAAATCAAGGAATCAATCCCATTTACAATTGCACCCAAAACCATAAAATAGCCAAAGAGGTAAAAAATCTATACACTGAAAACTACAGAAAGCTGATGAAAGAAATTGAAGAAGACACACAAAACTGGAAAAATATTCCATGCTCCTGGATAGGAAGAACATTGTTAAAATGTCAATACTACCCAAAGCAATCTACACATTCAATGCAATCCCTGTCAAAATAACACCAGCATTCTTCAGAGATCTAGAACAAATAATCCTAAAATTTGTATGGAACCAGAAAAGACCCCCGAATAGCGTAAGGAATCTTGAAAAAGAAAACCAAAGCAGGAGGCATCCCAATCCCAGACTTCAAGCTGTATTACAAAGCTATAATCATCAAGACAGTATGGTACTGGCACAAGAACAGACACTCAGGTCAATGGAACAGAACAGAGAACACAGAAGTGGACCCACAAACATATGGCCAACTCATCTTTGACAAAGCAGGAAAGACTATTCAATGGAATAAAGACAGTCTCTTCAGCAAGTCCTGGGAAAAGTGAACAGCGACATGCAGAAAAATGAACCTGGACCACTTTCTTACACCCTACACAAAGATAAACCCAAAATGGATGAAAGACCCAAATGTAAGGCAAAAAGCCATCAAAATCCTCAAGGAGAGTGCAGGCAAGATCCTCTTTGACCTTGGCTGCAGCAACTTCTTACTCAGTACGTCTCTGGAGGCAAGGGAAACCAAAGCAAAAATGAACTATTGGAACCTCATCAAAATAAAAAGCTTCTGCACAGTGAAGGAAACAATCAGCAAAACTAAAAAGCAACTGATGGAATGGGAGAAGATACTTGCAAATTACATATCAGATAAAGGTTTAGTATTCAAAGTCTATAAAGAACTTATCAAACTCAACACCCAAAAAACAATACAGTGAAGAAATGACCAAAAGACGTGAACAGACATTTCCAAAGAGGACATCCAGATGGCCAACAGACACATGAAACAATGCTCAACATCACTCATCATCAGGGAAATATAAACCAAAACCACAGTGAGATACCACCTCACACCCATCAGAATGGCTAACATAAACAACTCAGGCAACAACAGATGTTGGTGAGGATGAGGAAAAAGAGGATCTCTTTTGCACTGCTGGTGGGAATGTAAACTGGTGCAGACACTCTGGAAAACAGCATGGAGGTTCCTCAAAAAATTAAAAATAGAACTACCCTACAACCCAGAAATTGCACTACTCGGTATTTATCCAAGAGATACAGGTATGCTGTTTCGAGCGGACACAAGCACCCCAATGTTTACAGCAGCACTATCGACAATAGCCAAAGTATGGAAAGAGCCCAAATGTCCATCGATTGACGAATGGATAAAGATGTGGTATACATACACAACGGAGTATTACTCGGCAATCAAAAAGAATGAAATCTTGCCATTTGCAATTGTGTGGATAGAACTAGAGGGTATTATGCTCAGTGACATTAGTCAGAGAAAGACAAATATCATGACTTCACTCGTATGAGGACTTTAAGATACAAAACAAATAAACATAATGGAAGGGAAGCAAAAATAATATAAAAACAGGGAGGGGGACAAAAATATAAGAGACTCTTAAATATGGAGAACAAACAGGATTACTGGAGGGGTTGTGGGGGGGGGGGTGGGCTAAATGGGTGAGGGGCACGAAGGAATCTACTCCTGAAATCATTGTTGCACCATATGCTAAGTTGGATGTAAATTTTTAAAAAATAAAGATTAAGAAGAAAACTTATCGTTTGAAAAATTAGTCTTTACGTGGAGTAGTGAGGCAGGACTCTGATTCAAAAATACTATAAAAAGGAATGGCTTTTGATTTTATTGAAACAAGTGTATTGGAAAAATGCAACTAAATTAAAGCATCCTGAAACCTCAGATTCTAGAAAATGCTGAACGGACTGCGGATTGTTAGTTCCGACCAGGGCCCTGATCACTGATGTCTGTGGGATCTATGAGGAACTTTACCTGCCTCTTCCTTGGCTGCTGAGACTTCCAATTTTTTGCCCTCGGGTGTTGACGCGGAGGTTAGCAACGGAAAGGGCGTCTTCGGAAGAGACATAATAAACAATGCCTCCCACCACTTTCTTTAGTAATTTGGAACGTCCCTCCAGAAAGCTAGCTTAGACACAAATCCTCGGCGTACTGGGATTTGGCAGGTTTGTCACTCTGTCCTGCAGGCAAAGAGAGAGCGCGAGAGCGCCGCCATTAAGTGCTCATGTTAAGATCAGAGTTTATAAATCATAATTCATCTAGCGTGGGTTTTCCGTCCTCCGGGAGACCTCTACGTTCTCCCAAGTCACCTGACGCGACTGAGAAGCCTGCGGGCGGGTCAGGGTCTGGGTCCAGGCCGGAAGGACACGCCCGCCCCACCCGCCTGCGCCCGCCCCACCCGAAGGGCGCCCCTCGCTCCAGGCGGGGCGCTCGGTCCCCGGCCCCCCGCCACGCAGCGTCCTTGAGCGCCCCAGCCCCGCGGCCTCGGGGTGGGGCAGGGTCCGCGCCCAGGAGGCAACGGACGTGATGGGAGACACGCACGTGCAACCATTACCGGTAAATCGTGTTTCCCGCCAGACATCTGGCCGCTACGCCCTTTCCCGGAGCGCCTGCGGGTCGTTATAGAAACCCAGGACCCCGAGCTTTCGCAACCCTCACCGGGGGCTGTCTTGGGCGGTGCCTGCGGAGCGCGGAGACAGCTAAGAAACAATCCCAACACTCGGGGATCCGGTGTTTTTCAGCGCGGCGTAGCTTCAGCGGCAACAGAGAACAAAAATATTTAATCGGGCCGTTCTCACGGACTGCGAAAGTATCTAGAACCCGGTGCTTCCGCCCGCTGGTCGTCGCCAGTGCGCAGGCGCTAGCAGCGGCCGGGGTCGCTCTCCCCCTCCCCCGGGGGGGACCTGTGTGGCTCCCGACCGCGGGCGTGGATGGGTTGGAGCCGGCATCCCGTAAGAGATTTGTTTTTTCATCGATCTCTCCCACTTTTATGTTCTTTTGCATATTTTTCTAAAAGCCAAATTCAAGGAGAAATTAGGTAATCAAAAGCTCTGCGTTCCCAGCAGTTGCGGCTGCTGTCCCTGGCCTTGACGTTTCCATCAAGTCTTGGGCACTTAAGCACAGACCTGTGCCCCCACCCCATAACCCACCCAGCACACTGAAAGCATTCTTAGGTCTAGGCTTGTTGTGGTTGGAGGCAGGGAAGGAGACTGCGCTTTAGGCGAAACCAACCCAAGCAAAATCGTTGGGTCTTCTTAAGAATCTGTTCTTGGGGAACTTAGAGCAGGAACTGAGATCCCAGCCCCTCACCGCCACCAGGGGTCATTTTCTATTAAGATGGAGCCTCAATGCCTAACACTGATGGTGGAATCCCAGTGTATAGATGACTCTAGTCTAGCAAATAAATTTTAGAAGAGAAGATAACTTAATCTTGTTCAACAGCCCTATTCCTTAGTACGAAAGCACAGTACAAGCCTGGCCCAAACACTTTCAATACATGGTGTTTGAAAATCAACTGGACAGTTCTACTGTCCTGTGCTGATGGATTTGCTTTCTGATTTCCAGGGTAATAGCAATGAGAACTATGAGCAAAGTGTTGAAAATAGAAACAGCGCAATCTCTGTGGCCCCTTTTAATTCTCCTGGTCAAACACCTTGGCTGTCTGAGCATTTTGGCCTTTAGCCCTATTCCATCACCCTAATTTTTCTCTAGATTTTCCAACAATTAAAATACACACAGGGGCGCCTGGGTGGCTTAGTCGGTTGAGCGTCCGACTTTCGCTTAGGTCATGATCTCGCGGTTCGTGGGTTCGAGCCGCGCGTCAGGCTCTGTGCTGACTGCCAGCTCAGAGCCTGGAGCCTGTTTCAGAGTCTGTGACTCCCTCTCTCTCTGACCCTCCCCTGCTCACGCTGTCTCTCTCTCTCTCTCTCCTAGAAATAAATAAAAATATTTTAAAAAATTAAAAAATAAAGTACACACATAGCGCGCTCATAGCACACATGGTCTGGCAGTCATCAAAACTGGTTAAGGGCAGAAGCAATGCAGAAGCAGGTGGACGCTAATTTTCCTGCAAAGTGTATTTGCTTTTCTCCTTTCTCACCGGTATGATGACTCTACATTTCTAGTTTGGAACTATAAGGATAAGACTGAACGGACAACTGTCAGGTTATACAGTTTATCAACCTTTGGGTACTAGAAGAACAAAATAACTCCTCTTTTATATTCCTAACCTAGTTAAAAAAAAAAAAATCTAAGGAAGACATTGATAGAAGAGATGAAGACCAGTGAACAGATTCAAGAGACACACAGAGAGTAAAGTCTAGGGGTGCCTGGGTGGCACAGTGGGTCGGCGTCCAACCCTTGATCTCCACTCAGGTCATGATCTCAGGGTTCGTGGGATGGAACTCCGCCTCGGGTTCTTGGCTGTCAGCCTGGAACCTGCTTGGATTCTTTCTCCCTGTGTCTCTGCCCCTCCCCCATGCACTTGCTCACTCAAAATAAACTTAAAAAAAAAAAAAGTAAAATCTATAGGTTTGGGGAAGTAATTGGCTCTGTGGTGTAAAGAAAAAACAGCAAACATTACTTCTATAGCAAAGGTTACTGCTCATTTTCTATCCTGTGCAAGGGTGTGATGATTACATAGGCTGTATCCTAAGCAAAGTTGTAGAAGTGTATGTAGTAAGGACGAGAACAGATGAGAACTTTAAGAACATTACAGTAAGACCATAGCTCTTGAAGAATACAGCTGCTGCTATTGGGAAATTCCTCTCGTAATTTTGAATGCTAGCAAGGGAACCCTAAAGTGGACAAAGGTAAAGTATTATTGAGGTCTTTGGTGGAAAATATCACAGCAAAGGGCGCCTGGATGGCTCAGTCGGTTAAGCGTCCAACTCTTGGTTTTGGCTCAGGGCATGGTCTCCCGGTTTCATGAGTTCCAGCCCCACATCGGGCTGTGCACTGACAGTGCAGAGCCTGCTTGGGATTCTCTCCCACTTGTCCCTCCCCCACTTGCTGTCTCTGTCTCTCTCAAACTTTAAAAAGAAAAAAAAATATCACAGCAAAATCCAAGATGAGCAGGTAATAATTTTCCTAAATAGAAAACCTCACAGTACTAAAAAGTACTAAAAAAGTTATAAGAGGGGCTAACTGAGCTTGCTGGCACCAGCTGACTTCTGGGGCAGCTTAACACCAACTCAGCAGGAGGGTCCTCTAGCTTCGAGTGGACGTGATCTCAGAACAGAACCAGTGAGTGTGATCACCACACGTGCCCTCCACTGGGAAAAGAAAAACAAACAGTGGGACTATGTGTGCACCCATCTCCTTCTTACCAAGTCATTCTCTAAATGTGTGGGCAGGGCTTGCACTGCCTGCCGGCACTTACATGCAGTATGCATGACTCCCGCAAGGAGTCCAACTGGGAAGTAGGCCAGTATTTGTACTTCATGTAAAGATATCAACAAATGTTGTGAAGGAGACGCTGGGGAAAGAAATCTAGGTACTGCCCAGCCAAGCATTTGTCACGGGAAGAGGAACTTAGCCCGTCTTAGTTCCGTCATTCAATTCACTGAAGTACTTACTCTCCTTCTGATTCCACATGAGTGTGCCTACAGGAGGAAAAAATATGCTTTCGGTTTTGCTCACAAGCGTATCTTCAGTACAGAGCACAGTCCCTGGAACGTGGCACGGATGCAGTCTAGAACAAACCCATCCTTCTCATCATACCATAAATTGGGCTTGTACAGAGCAAATTTGATCAGTAACCATGTATGATTTCTCATGGTGTATTGACAAACTGGTATGCCAGTTTTATTAACCAGACCCGTGAACCTAGGTAATCCGCACTGTATCCCTAATTGACTGGACGCACAGACTTCGTGTTTCAGAATTACTTAAAACAACGAGAAAGGTCTATCTGCCACTTCATTAAAACAAAGGACAGTGGAGTATCTGGCGGCTTGCATGCAGGTCAGCACTCCGCCGGGAAGGGCATCCTGACAGCGGAAATGGGAATGTAAGGCAGAAATAAGGAAGGAAGCATTTAGAACAAAGGAATACAGAAGAGGAATTCTGGGATTTTTTAAAAAACTATCACTTCTGAGATTAACCCTTTTTCTCAAATCCAATTAGCCATTTAAAAATCTTTATGGTTCATGGGGTCGCCTGGGTGGCTCAGTCAGTTTAGCTTCCAACTCTTGATTTCAGCGCAGGTCATGATGTCAGGGTCATGAGATTGAGCCCCACTGAGGGCTCTGCTGGGCATGGAACCTGCTTAGGATTCCCTCCCTCCCTTTGCTCCTCCCTTGCTTGCACGCACTCTTTCTCTCTCCCAAAAAAAAAAAAGAAAAAAAAAAAAAGGAAATTTTATTAAGAACTTTGTAGATTACATAGATTGTACAGCATTCCTACTAACCTAAAACTTATCAATTTTATCATTATTAATGTTCAAACAGAGCATTAAATTATGGTAAGAAAGAGCATGGGGGGAAGCAGGAAGGCCTCTATTCTCCCTATTTCAACCAGAGTTGAAGCCATGTTTTACCTCCTTCATAAACTGGGTTCCAACATTCCATTACCTGATACACCGGATAGAAACTTTAGTGATGTTAGAAACTACTCAAATGCTTATATAAGCTTTACTAATAATACTCATTTTATTCCTCAAAATCTTTACGTCCCAGTTGCTTCAATTTCTGAGCCATAAACATAAAGCCTGGAGATAAGATATGTAAAGCAATATCTAAGACAGATCTATCTCAGATAGTATATATGCATACACATATAAACTGTATTATATAAAAGACATAAGTCACATAAAATTTTGCACAGGATTAGTAAGCCCATTACACATTATTAACCAAAGTATGAACTATCTTCGATTAGGAATTTTGTTCCAAGACTATAAGCATTCTTTACACTGGCAAAAGTAAGGTCTCATTAATTTCCTTCCTCGCCATAAATTCTAAAATTGAACTATAAAATATACACATTAGTTCTAACACTTGATTTCAATACCTAGGTAGAAGCAGACACACTTTTCTTTTTAGAAGCTTACCCTTATGCTAAACAAGATAAATCTGAAAGTAATTTTGGAGGCGGAGACATGAGTGCGCTCATAGTCCTGTTCAATTCTTGTCAGTTCCATTACGGGAGAGCTTTATAAATCGGTCAAGGTATGACGGGGCCTGACATCATCTCGAGTCTGTTTAAAAGCACATATGCTCAGGAGTGTGCAGCATTTGAAACATTCACATTTTTAAAAGATTCCAACAAGATAATAAGGATTCAGAGTTAGACTTTATGGAGGGTAAGAGGAAAATGAGGCCCTTTTTCTGCCAGGGCTAGTGCTTTG